AGAGTTAAAAAGGGGGAAAGCTCCAGGACCAGATGGATTCACTGCGGGTTATTACAAAGAGATGAAATCTATTTTGGTGAATCCATTGAAGGAAGTTATGAATAAGATTCTAAGAGAAGGAGAAATACCGGAAACGTGGAAAGAGGCATATATTACCTTCATCCCAAAACAGGATTCAGATCTAACCCAAGTCAAAAATTATAGACCGATTTCACTGCTGAACATAGACTATAAAATTTTTGCAGGAATTCTTGCAAAGAGGATGAAGAGTATGTTATTAGGAATTATCCACAAAGACCAGGCGGGCTTTCTCCCAGGCAGGCAGATGAAAGATAATATAAGAAACATAATTAACACACTGGAATACCTGTCTGTCAGGATAGACAAACAAGCCATAATGATGTTTGTGGATGCAGAGAAAGCATTCGACAATGTGGTGTGGGACTTTATGCTAAAAAATTTGGAACATATGGAAGTGGGCAGAGACTTTCTCAATGGGATAAAAGCAATATATACGGAGCAGAAAGCTAAATTAATTACAAATAATGTTGTAACAGAAGAAATAAAGATACAGAAAGGAACAAGACAGGGATGCCCACTTTCCCCACTATTATTCATAACGGTGCTAGAAGTCCTGTTGAATTCAATTAGACAAAATAAGAAAATAAAAGGAGTGACAATCGGACAAATCGAGTATAAGATCAAAGCATTCGCAGATGACTTGGTAATAATGATTGAAGACCCAACAACTACAGTAGAAGAAGTATTAAAGGAAATGGAGCAGTTTGGAGATGTGGCAGGCTTCAAACTGAATAAGAGGAAAACAAAGATGATTGCTAAAAATATGGACCAAAGTGCAATAGAAATAATACAACAACAAACACAGATAGAGGTGGCCAAGAAAGTCAAATATCTAGGAATTTGGGTGACCTCCAAAAATATAGATCTATACAAGAATAATTACGACCCAGTGTGGAATGAAATAAGGAAAGACCTGGAGGTGTGGGGAAGACTGAAATTGTCATTTTGGGGGAGGATTAACACAATTAAGATGAACGTGCTACCAAGACTGTTGTTTTTATTCCAGACCATCCCCATAATTAAGGGGAGTAGAGTCTTTAAAGAGTGGCAAAGAGTGATCTCAAGATACATCTGGCAGGGCAAAAAGCCTAGAATTCAATTTAAGTTGTTAACAGACGTAAAAGAAAGGGGAGGCTTTGCCCTTCCAGATCTGAAATTATATTACGAGGCATCATGTCTTTGCTGGCTGAAAGACTGGGTTAAGTTAGAAAACAACGAATTACTTGATCTAGAGGGTTTCGACAACAGGTTCGGCTGGCATGCGTATCTATGGCATGAGAAAAGGAAAGTACACAAGGGATTCGGTAACCACATCTTTCGAGGTCCATTAATTGAAATATGGGAAAGATATAAAAATCTATTGGAATTCAGAGTACCACACTGGCTATCACCTTTAGAAGCATTGAGTGTGAAGAAAATTAATATGAGAAACAAATGGGTAACATATAGCCAATTATTAGTTAAAGAAGGAGGGAAATGGAAAATGAAACCATACGAACAGGTTAAAGAATATGTATATGACTGGCTACAGTATTTTCAGATAAACGAAATGTTTAAGAAGGACAGTAAAGAACTTGGATATGCGGATCAAGACTCTATATTCCAAAGAGAGATTATAGATAATGATGTGAAAATAATTTCTAAAATGTACAAGATATTGTTGGACTGGAACTTAAAGGACGAGGAGGTCAAATCGGTAATGATTCAATGGGCTAGGGATGTGGGTCATAATATACAATTTGAGGACTGGGAAAAATTGTGGCAGGATGGACTAAACTTCACAGCATGTATGACGGTAAAAGAAAATGTCATGAAGATGTTTTATAGGTGGTATATAACACCCATGAAATTATCAAAAATGTATAAGGTTTGTAACAAATGCTGGAAGTGTAAAGATAAAGAGGGCACCTTCCACCATATGTGGTGGGAGTGTAGGAAAGTGAAAGATTTCTGGGAGAAAATATATATTGAACTAAAGAAAATTCTAAAGTATACGTTTACAAAGAAACCAGAAATCTTTCTGCTAGGGATATTAGGGAATGAAATAAAAAAGAAGGATCGCAAATTTGTTTATTATGCAGTTACAGCAGCAAGGGTAATACTAGCCCAGAAATGGAAACAGCAGGAAATACCGACTGTGGACGAGTGGAGAACGAAGGTGTTAGACTACGCAGAGTCGGATAAGTTGACAGGAAAGATTAGATACTTAAGAGACCAAAAGTTCATCAAAGAATGGGGAAAATTTGTGGATTATCTGGAACATATAAGTGAGGGACAGATAACGCTAAAGGGACTTAAAGAAGCATTGTGAAAGACTAAGAACTATTGTCTAAAGGGAATAGTAAGAAAGAGATATAAAAAGTCAATACAAATTAGGAAATGCGTAACTTAAATTATTACTACGAATGATTTACGGACAAGCTGAAGGAAGTCTTGAAAGAGATGGTATTGTAAAATTTTTGATGTGATATTTCTATTTATTATTCCTTTTTGTTTGTGTGTCACTTTTGTCTGTTTTTTTTTTTGATGTAAATTAATAAAAAAATTTATTGGGGAAAAAAAAGGAAATGCTGAAATTAATCTCAAAAGCCACAGAAAAGGTGATTTGGACAGCATCTGTAGATCTGTCAGAAGCATACCTCCACATCCCCATTTGAAAGGAAGGCAGGTGGAAACTTAGTTTCTGCTTCAGGACCCCTCCACCTGCAATTCAGAGTCTTGCCTTTGGGCCTCACTTCAGCACCAAGAGTTTTCAGCAAAGTCCTGGTAGCACTAGTGGCACACCTGAGAACTCAAGAGAACGAGGGTGCACCACTAAGATGGCATCCTGGTGAGGTCCCCATCAGAAAGCATGTACAAATAAAAACTGAAATAGGCACATGTGCGATTTGAGCTAAAATGTCTATTCTTCCTATGGAAAACATGGAGCATGGAGTCAATCCTGACCTTAATTTAGGCCATGGTAAAAATAAAACAGAGGATGAGTTTCGTTTCCATACCTACGGAAAGATGGGATCAAAATCTGTTGACTGTTTCCTACTTGAGCTCTCCCAAGGCGGCAATCAGTGCCAGCTTCGCTACACATGCCAACCTTTCCACTGGCACATCATGTGTTCACAAAGGAGTGTGGAAGAGTGTATGTGAATCAGCTCAGAGGCACCTGGAGATGCTTTACTGTGATGTGTGCAACTCAGAAATCAAGATGTTTGAAAAGTAGGAAGAATCCAAAGCCTCAGGTGGCTGTACACAATGGTACATGATTGTTGTTATGAGTGAAACTCAACTAAGCCAAGCTTCCTAATAAGTGGCTAGGAATGATGACAATCTCCCATCAGCTTCTGGGAAACTCTTCTTTTTAAAATTACTCTTTATTAGTTTTATATAAAGCTTCCAAACAACAGACACACAAACAAACATAACATCCAGTACAAAGAGATTGTTACATAAAAATAAAATAACTTTCTTCTTTATGTTTTGACTTCCGTCAACCTCAACAAGGGTCCTCTGTTTCCATAGTAACTGCCTATTATATAATGTTTGACTTAACATGAACTATATTTTAATTATATATTTCTAACATAAGGTATTATATTGCAATAGTTAATTGAAGCATGCTAAAGATTTCATATGGGAATAAAGTTCTTTCAAATATATTCTGTAAAAATCCCACTCGTTACACTTTTGGTTTCACTGATTCTTAATTTTCGCTGTCATCTTCACCAATTCCACATATTCAAATAATTTCACCTGCCATTCCTCTTTAGGCGGTCTTTTATCTCCCTGTCATCCTTTAGCTACCGACATTCTCGCGGCATTTGTTGCGTATAGGAGTACAGTGGTACCTCGGGTTACAGACGCTTCAGGTTACACACTCCGCTAACCCAGAAATAGTGCTTCAGGTTAAGAACTTTGCTTCAGGATGAGAACAGAAATCAGGCTCTGGTGGCGCAGCGGCAGCAGGAGGCCCCATTAGCTAAGTGGTGCTTCAGGGTAAGAACAGTTTCAGGTTAAGAACGGACCTCCGGAACAAATTAAGTACTTAATCTGAGGTACCACTGTATACTCCTTCCTTCCTTTGGAATGTCTGCTGCCATAATGCCTAAGAGGAAGGCTTCCGGTTTTTTTGGAAAAATTAATCTAAACATTTTATAAAGTTCATTATAAATAATTTCCCAAAACTTTTTGATCTTTTTACAATTCCACCACATATTGTTCAGCTTCTTGGAAACCCGTGGGCATAGCCAGGGGAGAACAGCTGCCCCAAATCAAGTAAATAAAAAATATTTAACTAAAAGCAGAAATTATATAAAGATTTTGACAGATTTTTCTAAGCATTTGGGGTCAAATGAAAGTAATTTAAAACAACTGTTGTTGAGACATTTCATTCCAAATCTGCTAGACAGAAGATTATGACCCCACCCCAATCCTGGCTACATCCATGTATATATGTATATTTAGTGTATTAATAATTTTACTTCACACACACACACACACACACACACACACACACACACACACTCACATTGAGAAATGCACTGTTATCAAATCTGTTTAAGAATGAAATCTGAGCAAACAAAATCCTGGACAGCTGCTGTAGACAGACACCAGTCCTGGTGTCTGCAAACAATTCTGCTAATAAGATTTAATGGTTCCCGTGAATTATTCTCAGCTACCTCCGTTCTGCCACAAGCTGTGTTTATAACAATGCCTGATAAAAAAAAAATTCAACAGAATCTGTGAATATAATTTTATTCTTTCTTTGAATACACTCTGATGAGCATGTTTTTCTCCTCAAAAACAAACATATTTATTTTATGCTGGGTATTATAGCCTGAATGTCGTTCATGAACAGGTTACTGCAAACAGGGCTATGTACAGTGGATAGACTTTAGGTCTCTACAGAAGCAGCACATGGGAACATGGGAAGATGAGGAACCTATTTCTTTCTCCTCAGATTCTAGGTGTACAAGATTGGGGTGCAATGGACTCAAATTTAGTGACATCTACCAGACTATCCCAATCACAATAGCTTCCTTGCTAATAATCTCAAATCATTAGTGAATCAATATTATACAATGATCACTGAGTGATTAGTTTCTTGTTTATCTACAATGGCAGCTTAATGCAAATTCTACATTAACATAGCAACAGAAAGAGCACCATTGAGTCATGCAATGGCTTATTCATACTTTGCTGTGTGGAGGGAAGAATCAGAATGTATTACATCCTTTTCCCTGGCTTCATTAGCAATAAATAGCAATAAATCATGAAACCATGATTTGACCCTTGTTCCAAAACAATGAATTTAGATTAGCTCAATTAATTGGTGACTTCTGAACGGTATCTATAGTCTGATGTAGATGTATATAAAGGACTCCAGTTCACATCACATGTGAGCACAGAATTCTGACACTTATAAAATCCATATGCAGAGACCCAGTGTCTTTTTAGAAAATCCTTGCGCTCAGAAAAAGTTGATGGGAAAGTATTTAAAAATAATGCTCAGTACTCACACGAGCCCAAACAGACAGGAACACCAGCATCAGGAGGAAATGTACGGTACATTATTCCACCCTGTTCATGTCAATGCTAAGGAAACACAATGTGGACAACACTGAGGTCAATGGACCACTGCTATTCCTAGGGTGCAGCTTTTTAACAGGAGATGAGCTCTTTGATCTGTTTTATATTCTTTTGTGGTTCCCTTTTGTAAGCTATATTGAAAATCTAAATACACATTTTCAAACAGTCATTTCTTTCTCATCCCGGTATTTTTAACAATATATATTTTATAAAATTTTCCAAAATTTCACATAAAATCCCAATACGTAATAAATTTCCCTCCCCCCCCCCATCAGGGTTGCATAGTTGCTCTCTTCACACACAAACAGTAGCAGCAAGGTCTGTTGTTTTTATAGCTTTTATTTCTTGCTATTTCCACAACTGGGCATTTCAATCTGTGTCGTTCTCGTCAGTTGGTCCCACTGATTTACGGCGTCTTTTCCAAGAGCTAAAGCGGGGAATTTTTTTCCGACCTTCCGCCTACGTTCGCGTAATCTCCCAATGCGCCTTGCGTGAGGGGACTCAGGTCTTTGCCCGTCCTCTGATTCAGGAACTTAACCCTTGCACGGTCTGTGAACTTGCCTGTTCACTTTCCTGCGTCTCTTTTGTTTGTGTTCCCTCCCCCTCCGTGGGCTGTAAAACCCCCAAAAACCTGCTTGTTTCTGGCTTCTTTCATCTTTGGTAGCAGGGTTTGCTACCTCTTCCTGCTGCTGCCCGTTCAGTTCAGCCTCACTGGGGTATCGTATGTCAGGGGACTCAGAGTGTTCTGAAGGCACCCTGACACCTACTTTCCATCCCATTTTCCATGGTGTTTTTTTATTCTATCGCATTGCTGCACCCTAACTTCACTCTTTTGTATCATAGCAAAAATACAACAGTCTCTAATTATTTCCATTGCTCATAGTTCAAATCCTGCTCGCGAATTTGTGATATTGTCATATTTCTTCAAATAGTCCTAAAAAGGCTTCCATTAAACATAAAACAGTCATGGTTAAGTTCTGTTATTTTAGCTGCCAGCTTTGCAGGTCTATTCTTTGCTTATCCATTCTTTTCTGCTAAGAACGTCTTCATTTTTCCAATTCTGTGCATAGAGAATCCTAGCTGTTGTAGTCATATACACAAATAACTTAACCATCTTTTTTGGAACTTCTGACCCTATAACCCCAAAAGCTTCAGTTTTATTGTTTGTTTTTCTTTGGGGAGGGTGTATAATAACTTTGAATATCCTTTTTATCTCGTCATATATCATTTTTCCAAAATCCCTTGCTTTCTTTCAGGTCCACCACACTTTCTCATCCTGGTCTTCTTTTATCTTCTTCCAACTGCCCATGATTGTCAAGGAGGTTTACCACCATCTCCATAGGATCTCAGACTCGAGCACCAAAGAAGAGACACTTTCAGCAGTCGTCAGCCTCGCCACAAAGTGTCTGAGCCCAGTGGTGGACAGCTTGCTGGAGTGCTCAGCAGAGTGCAATGAGTAAGGGCCTCTAAGAGATGAGTGTGTTAAGGGGAAATACCATATAGAAAGACATAAAATTAGGAGAGATTGCTTTGCAAAAGGTATATATGCCAGTGTGCAAAGTTTTCATGATGTGGAAATGGGGAGAGCTGAATGCATGTGCGATATAAAGTTTTAAAAAAAAGGCCTGACTTTTTTTAAGGAAAAAAAGAAAAATTCTCTTTGAAAAATTGCAGAAGAGCCGCAGCGATGTGGAAAGCCTTAGCCGCCGATCCTTATTCCAGCAGCAAGCTGATGAAACCCATCCTCCAAAGGCTTCAGGATAAAGACCCCAATTACATGCGATGCAGCATGTCACAAACTCCCAATAGTGGTACAAAACCATTCAGTTTTTCTCTCCTGGATTGTTCTTGAATGGGAGCTGGATGGGGGTTGGGGCTTCTTGCTGGGAGGGGGGGGTACATCTTAATAACTGGCCTAGCAGCATCTTAGTGGTCCATCGCTGTGAGGCTCAGTGGCAGAGCACCTGCTTTGTATGCAGAAGGGCCCCAGCATCTCCATGTCGGGGAGTCCCTCACCTGAAACCCTGGACAGCCACTGCTAGTCAGTGCAGACAACACTAAGTGAGATGGACCAGGGTCCTGAGTTGCATCCTGCAGAGAGTTGGGAGATCTTGATCTGATGACCTCTGCTGAATGCCGTTCTCCTGTCCTGAAAATACGTATCTCAGGCCAGGGGTAAAGAGGTGCACCTTCAACGGAACACTTAGCAGTTCTTCCTGCCAGCTTCAGGCTTGTGCATCCTGTCTCTTACGCTTATGTTTCAGGACCTTATTCACATCATCCACAGAAGAGTACAAGAACATTGCCAGATAACATGTGCCATCCGAACACTAAGAAAAGAGCCATAGGGATGTTTCAGGACCTTGTTCACATCATCCACAGAAGAGTACAAGAGCATTGCCAGACTGGCACGGGAATATATGCGTCATCCCAACTTGAAGAAAAGAGCCACAGGGATGGCATTCTACTTGGAGGTGAGGGTCGGAAATGGGGAACGCCTGCAGGCGCTCCTGCTTTGAAACAACTGTGCCCAGGCAGGCAAGGAAAGCAGAGGGTGCAAGAAGGTCTCGTGGGGGCAAGGGAAGCATGCAACACACCTATGTGGGGAGCGAACTCCACAATTTACCACCCTTCTCTAAATCCATTTGCATTCATCATTGTTTCATAAGAACAGGGCAGAGCAGATAATGTCTACAGGGAGGGTGGAATGAAATCTGCAAGAGCAAATCTGGATTCTGGGGTTGGCTAAAAAGAAAAGCAAATGAACTACTCTTGTTTTACACAATTTATATCTGGGTTGTTTCCTGCCAGCTCCGAGTTCTGCAGGAGCACTGGAAATCATATTCAGCAAACTCTGCTGGCTCTGGAGATTGATTTGCAAGATACTGCCCTGCACTCTCAAGCATCCCTTCCTTGACAGAGAGAGCTACATATGGCTTCGGATACAACTTGGGTGAAATCGGAGAGGAGTAGAGGGTAGTGATGGGGGCAACACAATCAGGTGGGCGGGGTGCAAGTAACCCTGGTGGTGGTGGTTGTTGTGCAGGAACACTTAGCGGTTCTTCCTGCCAGCTTCAGGCTTGTGCATCCTTTGTCTCTTACGCTTATGTTTCAGGACCTTGTTCACATCATCCACAGAAGAGTACAAGAACATTGCCAGATAACATGTGCCATCCGAACACTAAGAAAAGAGCCATAGGGAAGTTTCAGGACCTTGTTCACATCATCCCAGGAGCAATTCAAGCCCATTTCCAGACTGGCACGTGACTATATGCGTCATCCTAACTCCAAGAAAAGAGCCATTGGCATGGCGTTCTACTTGGAGGTGAGGGTCGGAAACAGGGAATGCCAGGGTCCTGAGTTGCATCCTGCATAGAGTTGGGAGATCTTGATCTGATGATGACCTCTGCTGAATGCTGTTCTCCTGTCCTGAAAATACGTATCTCAGGCCAGGGTAAAGAGGTGCACCTTCAATGGAACACTTAGCAGTTCTTCCTGCCAGCTTCAGGCTTGTGCATCCTGTCTCTTACGCTTATGTTTCAGGACCTTGTTCACATCATCCACAGAAGAGTACAAGAACATTGCCAGATAACATGTGCCATCCGAACACTAAGAAAAGAGCCATAGGGATGTTTCAGGACCTTGTTCACATCATCCACAGAAGAGTACAAGAGCATTGCCAGACTGGCACGGGAATATATGCGTCATCCCAACTTGAAGAAAAGAGCCACAGGGATGGCATTCTACTTGGAGGTGAGGGTCGGAAATGGGGAACGCCTGCAGGCGCTCCTGCTTTGAAACAACTGTGCCCAGGCAGGCAAGGAAAGCAGAGGGTGCAAGAAGGTCTCGTGGGGGCAAGGGAAGCATGCAACACACCTATGTGGGGAGCGAACTCCACAATTTACCACCCTTCTCTAAATCCATTTGCATTCATCATTGTTTCATAAGAACAGGGCAGAGCAGATAATGTCTACAGGGAGGGTGGAATGAAATCTGCAAGAGCAAATCTGGATTCTGGGGTTGGCTAAAAAGACAGGCAAATGAACTACTCTTGTTTTGCACAATTTATATCTGGGTTGCTTACCTGCCAGCTCCGAGTTCTGCAGAAGCACTGGAAATCATATTCAGCAAACTCTGCTGGCTCTGGAGATTGATTTGCAAGATACTGCCCTGCACTCTCAAGCATCCCTTCCTTGACACAGAGAGCTAGATATGACTTAGGATACGACTTGGGTGAAATCGGAGGAGTAGAGGGTAGTGACGGGGGCAACACAATCAGGTGGGCGGGGTGCAAGTAACCCTGGTGGTGGTGGTTGTTGTGCAGGAACACTTAGCGGTTCTTCCTGCCAGCTTCAGGCTTGTGCATCCTTTGTCTCTTACTCTTATGTTTCAGGACCTTATTCACATCCTCCGTTGAACACTACAAGAGCATGGCCAGACTGGCCAGAGGTAACATGCACCATCCCAACTCAAAGAAAAGAGCCATAGGGATGTTTCAAGACTTTGTTCACATCATCCCAGGAGCGATTCAAGTCTATTTCCAGACTGGCATGTGACTATATGCATCGTCCTAACTCTAAGAAAAGAGCCATTGGCATGGCATTCTACTTGGAGGTGAGGGTCGGAAACGAGGAATGCCTGCAGGCGCTCCTGCTTTGAAATAACTGTGCCCAGGCAGGCAAGGAAAGCAGAGGGTGTGAGAAGGTCTCGTGGGGAGGGAGGGAGGCACCATTTAGGGCTGGCTGGCAGGCCTGCACTCTACCTGAGGCAGCAATTTCTACAGGCCTTGGATATGAACTGAGGGCAGCAGGCATTAGCTAAGGGCCATCCTCAGAGCAAATCCACCAAAATCGTTGCACCAAAAATCGTCAGGCCAATTAGCTGCAACTTCTCCACCTTTAGCTCAAAATTGCTGGGGTTTTTTTCTTTCCTTTCTTTATCCTTTTCTTTGCCAGGGGCACTCATACTCTCCAACATTCCTTGGGTGAAAATAGAGACATTTTCTGTAGCCAAGGTTTGTTCTTAGTTTACTGAGTATGGTCCCGTGAGCCAGGAATAGTGAAACAGGCACAATTCACTTGCACACAGTAAGTGTGGTTTATGTCAGTGATGAACATGTAGCCCTCCAGATGTTACTAGACTCCCAATCCCATCACCATCGGCTATTGAACATGGGATTTGGAGTCTAAAAACATCCCTATTCTAAGACATACAAATGGAGCTAGTATGCCTCATAAGTGCTTTTTAGTGCTTCAGACAAGAAACAAAACAGTAGAAAAGTATAACCAGTTAAACAATCCCAATGGCAGTGAAAAAGAGGTACTGGTAGGTTGTTTGCCTTGCTGTCGGGATGTGGATGCAGCCCTGTGGTAGAAAGCACAGCATCTAACAGAAGCTTAATGTGCCAGATATTGTAGTAGAAGACAAACTCTCTAAATTGGCCCAAACAGTGGAACTTATGGCAGAGAATGTTAATGCTGCATGGGAAATGGCACAGGCCAACAAAGAAAAAATTAAGGCTTTGCAGGAGCAGACCAGGAAACTGAAGGTACACAATAAGTGTGTTAATGATAAATTAATGGACTTAGAAAATAGAGCCAGAAGGTCGAATTTACGTCTAAATTTTTTTTCCAGAGTCAGAAGATATGGAGAAAGTGATTGAGTGGATGGCCAATTTGTTGCCGGAATTGGGAATTTTGAAAGACACGCTCGACCGCATACATAGGGTCGGGAAGCTGAGAAATGAGTCAACTTGGCCAAGAGACGTGGTAATGTGCTTTGGGAGATACAGAGAGAGAGCAGGTATTCAAGGCAATGAAAGACTTCGATAGACTTGATAAACTGTTGTATAATGGCAAGAATGTGATGGTTTTTGATGACTTATCTCTGGAAACAATTAAAAGATCGAGGCAAACTGATAGAGTACTTACAATTAGCAAAGAGAATGGGGATAGTGAGAGGAAACTCAACACAAGTAAATAAGGAATAAATAATTAAGGAGTATCTCAAAGGGTACTGTGACAATAAAAGCTTCCTGGCAGATATTGAATGAGCCATGCAATACAAAGTATCTGTTAGAAAAAGTTAAATTACGTTAAAGAAAAACAACTTTACATAACTGTGTAAATAATAGTTTAATTGTAAATCAGCGCAATGGGTTTAGTCAGAAGTTTCTTTTCTTTGCAGATTCGCACATAGTATTTACTATATTTGATGGTTGTAATTTACTTAATATGTATTTTAAAACTGTTTTTTCTATCCACACTCATTTCTTTTTCTTTTCCCTCTGTCTATATTCTTTATAATCTACAATTAAGTGAATGTTTGTTGGTATTGTATGTATTTTAAGATTTCTCTTGCTCAATAAAAAATAAAAGAAAAAAATTACTGTGGTTTTTCTATTAAGTACTATTGAATGTTTCATAAAGTTTGGTCTGTGTCTTCTGGGGGTAAAGAAACAAAAAACACTGTACTTTCTCAATGCAGTTCTCAAACAGGAGAAATGTGCAGTTGTGCCACTAGGGGCACTGCAGGGAAGTGCCTCCAGTTTAGTTTGTGTACCTCGGACCTCCTACAATTGAGTAATTGTTGGTATACAGAAGGTGATAGTTTCTGTCCTCCTCTCCAGCCTTAACTGACAGGTAAGAGGGTAAATTTGTCTGACAAATTAGTTTCTCTTTTGTAACCCTTAAATGACGCCTGATATCTTTGGGATCCCTGGATCCTGAATTAGAATTTGAGGATGAAGTCCATATTAATCCTGATGTGCATCTTGATTCTGGGGAACCCCAGTGTGACACAAGGAAACGTCTTTGTAAAGCATGAGAAAATGTCACCCTTTACTATGAACATCCTAGAAAGGTAGCTGACATGTCCCTCATTCCAGGACTGATCAAGGATCCTGATATTGTGTTGGCAGGCCTAATATATAACCAAAGTGGCCTTTTTGCTACACCTCCTTCTGAATTGAATGGCACCTCCTACCGGTATTTCCGGTTCTCCTCAACCACCCAAGGCTTGTGTTTTTGTTGCTATGCCTCTGGGGCATGGAACTCCAAATGGAAAGATTGGCACCAGGTACAATGCCACCAACGTAAAAGTTGGCTAGGAAATTATACACACTGCACCGATAAATTTTGGTTGTGGGGTTCCTTCAATACCTCCTACCAAGGAAACACCACACCTTCAGATTTGTATCAATACTTCCCCCCCATATACAGTCAATTTCACCAGACAGGGATCCATCTATTATGGATGGATGATTAAGGATCCGAATCTATGGTTCCTGGCTTGCTACAAACTACCACCCTGGTAATTATCACTGTGTCGGAATCAGAGCCTTCACTTTCCCTGCGACTGTAGAGACTTTCCTTCCCCGTGCCTCTAGAAACAGGAAATGGAGGGAAGTCCAAGCGGAACGGTGTAGTGATGAAATCCTACCTGACCCGTTCCATAGGTGCTAAATATATATCCAGGAGTCATTTCTGAACAACATCCGCGAAGCCCTTTTCGCCTTAACATGTAGGTTGGAGAAATGTTAAAATGGACATAGGATTTAGGAAGGGTTGTGTCCACACTTATTGGTTTGATTTTGCTGCAGTTTATGAATATGTAATGCCTAAAGCTGTTTGGAAAAAAGGTATATAAACCCAAAGCACCAGCACCCAGTCTTTGGAAACCATTCCGCCGGGTCTTATTGCTGTCAGCAATAAAATTTTACTTTCTTTTTCTCCATTACTGTGTGTGATTTTTGAGCACACCTTGAACAGGTATCGGGTATTTAGGTAACCCTTCGCAACAGAATGAGAAACTGCATGACCAGTGTATACATGCGTACCAGCGTCTATTTGGCCATTTGCATTTCTAGGCAGTAGCCAAAATGCCAAGTATGGTTGAGGGCATGAAATTGCAAAATTGTCCTTAACATATGAAGTGTTTTTCTTGTGCAGAAAACAAAGCTAAGCAAGCTCCCAAAGGTGTAAAATCTGGGAGAAAAGCTAAGAAACCTTATGAAGTTATACATGCTGACTTGGTTTGACCTCTAGCACTCTCTAAAGGCAACTCACGTTTCTTCATGGTACTGATTGACCCAAACATATGGAATAGGAATATATGTACTGCAAAAAAAATCTGAAGCTTTTTCCAGATTTCAACAATTTTGTGCATGGCTTAGAAATGTACACGATGAGCATGTACGTTGTTTATTTACTGATAGGGGGTGGAGAATTTTGTTCAGAACAGTCTGAATTTCCTTACTGATCAGAGCATAGAGCACATGACTGCCACGCCCAGATCTCCATGGCAAAATGATTTGTGCAAACGAGTGAACCAAACCTTGCAACAAGGTGTAAGAACTCTGTTGCACGATTCAGGCCTATCCAATCCCTTTTGGGCAGAAGCTCTATCCTGTTTTTCTTATGTATACAATCACAGATACCAACTGGCTATTGATTGCACCCCATATGAAATGCTTTACAAAAAGAAGACATGTGAAACATTTAAGAATTTTCAGTTCAGAGGTATGGGTGCACACTTTGCAGAACAACAAATTGAGCAAACCTGGCCAACATGGCATTTTTCTGGGTTATGAAAAAGGTTCCTATCGTGTGTTAATGACTCGCAAAAAGGTGATAAGGTTGACCAGAAGCATGGATTGTAACCCAAAATGGGACACAGTTGGCATTTTTCAATGTCATCCCATTTCAGATGATGATGCGAAAGCAATTATAGAGGCAGATCCTGTTGTTGCTAACGATAATGCTGATGCAGATTCTGATGACACAGATTATCAAAGTGCAAAAGCCTCTCTTAAACAAACAGATGAGTCTGACACTGATTTAGACACAGCACCTTTGTTTACATTAGATCTTCATTCTCCCAAGGAGGAGACACCAGACCCAGAGAACCAGAGAATATTTCGTAGATCTGAAAGAGCTACTAAAGCCAAACCACCTAAGCTGTACTCCAAAGTTTGCTAAAGCTGCTGTTACTAGCAACTCAGATTCAGTTTTTGAACCAGCCAACTGCAAAGAGGTTCAAAATTTATCTGCAAAGGATGCCGAACCTTGGCTAAATGCCATGGAAGCCGAGTTAGTTTCCCTAAAGCAGAGTGACACATGGGAATTGGTTCCAGCAGAACCAGGCAAAAAATGTGTTGATAGCAGGTGGATTTACAGGACAGAAACTGACCAGAATGGTAAAATAGTCAGGTACAAAGCCAGACTAGTGGCACGTGGTTTCTCTCAAAATACCTGATCAGGACTATCATGAGACATACTCACTGAAGGTAAAGTTTGAGAGTATTAGGCTGTTGATGAAAATTGCTGCTGAGGAAGGTATGACTATTACTCATCACAATGTAAATACTGCGTTTGTATATGGAATTCTCACTGAGAATATTTACATGTTACTGCCAGATGGAGTGCAAATAAAACGGAATGGTTTGTAAACTGGAAAAAACCCCTGTATGGCTTAAAACAAAATACATGATGCTGGCACACCAAGCTGACAGAAGTGCTGTTTTCCCTAGGTTTTCAGCAATGGAAGGCTGATTCTTGTGTTTTTGTGAAAGAATCTAATCAGCACAAGCTCTACTGCATTTGCTTTGTAGATGATATCTTATTTTTGTGGAAATATGAGAATATTTACAAAAGCACTCTAGCAAAGCTGCAGAAACATTTTGATATGAAAGATCTCAGAGAAGTCAGCAATTATCTCTCACTAGAGGTAGAGAGAAACGCACAATCAGTGATGTTATTGAAAGGTTGAACCTGATGCTAATGCTATAGACATCCCCATGGTTCTCAGGTTATCAACATGATGCTGATGTTTTTCCTGATATGCTGTTCAGGAGTGTATTAGGCAAACTCAGTTTTATCGCAAGGTGTACAAGACCAGATATTGCTGTAAGTGTAAATCTGCTCAGGAGACATGCAAACCAACCCACAGTTTAAGACTGGAAGGCGCTGAAACGCATAGCAAGATACTTAAAAGGCACTGTGCATTACAGGTTGAGATTCACCAGCCAAAAATCTGGAGGTCTTGAAATTTATGCCAATGCCAGTTTTGGCAGTGATGCAATTGATGGTAAAAGCACTTCAGGTGTGTGCTACTTGTATAATCAATGCCTATTTGACTGGTCTTGTAGGACACAGGCAACAGTAAGCATGAGTTCTTGCAGAGCAGAACTTAACACTTTTAACTCTTTCCCTCATGGACAGTGGTTATTACAACTGTATGAGGATGTAAAAGTGAAATTTACTTGTCCTATTCAAGTCTATCAGGACAATAAAGCTTGTACAGGTATAGCTTTGCTCCACTCTCAAGGATGCAAACAGAGAACAAAATAGCTACAGATTAAGCTTCACCGAGCTAGAGAATGCATCCAGAAAGGAATTGTGAAAGTGTCCTATATGCCTGGGAAAGAAATACCTGCCGATGCACTAACCAAAGTTGTTAACAGAGAACAACTCGCTGTATATGTACATAAATTGCAAATCTGTTAGATTCTGCAATGGTTGGTATGAAAAGGGGGAGATTGTTGATCTTTTCACCCCCTCTCATTGCATCTCCTGATCTGATGTTTTGAGAAAGGAGGGGGCGGAAACTGCTCTTCTACTCTTCCGCTCCTGACTGACTCACTCTGTGTGTGGAGAAAGTCTTATCTATGTAGTGACTAGATGGCAGAGTGCGAGCTGTAACACTCATGCAAGCCAGTAGTTCTTTAGTTTGTAGTAGCTATTAGAAATAAAAGGAGTTATGCTTCATAGCTAGCTTCCGCGTTATTTATACTCTGCTGAGTCTGGTGCTCACAATGCGTAGTTGCGAGTCCAGTGCACTGAGATGAGACCTGCTTTCCAGGATTGGAAGGTCTCTGCAAGTGCTCCAGTTGCCTAGCCCAGTCGGGACAGAACCAGTTACTGAGCCCAGTCGCTGACATCGGTTGAAAGCCGTACTGACAGTTAGACGAAGTCAAAATCATCATTCGAGAAGGGATGCGGTCTTGAGTGTTCCAAGGGCCATAAAGAGGTTTGGAAGGCCAGTTCAAGCCTTGGCCCTGAGGTTCTACACCCTTGGTTTACAGGATAGCAGATTTAACTGCAATCAAGATGGTTGAGGCACCATGGCAATTGGCATCTGTCTGTCTCTAGAGTCGATGGAGGAGTGTATGGGGGGGGGGTTAATCTGTTGGAGCCTGCTGTGGCAGTAGAGACCAATATTGGAGGGTTATGTTTTGTTGCAGCTGGGGCAATGAAAGCATCTGGTTGTGCTGTTGCAGATACACCATGGCATTTCTTCTCACTGTGGTCCTCCTTGTGATCATTCCTCATCTTGTCACTGCTAAGAATGCATGACCAGATTGTATTCCGGGCACTGCAGTCATATGCAAGGGATGACTATATGGTGGGATTCATGCTTTGTAGTCTTCATGTCACATTTGCAGACCTATTTGTAATGGAGAGTTGGTCTGCCAATGAGTTGGGTGCCTGCTCCCTATAAAGCACCTCCTTGGGGAGCCTGTCATCTTCCATTCTGTGAACATGACCAAGCCAGAGTAGATGTTACTGAGAGCAGTGTGTGAACATGCTGGGAATGTGGGCTTGGTAGAGCACATCTTTGAGACTGACCTGCCATGTGATGCCCAAAATCTTCCTGATGTAGTACATGGGACCATGGTACAGTTCCCAGAATAGGGTCCCCTCATTCCCCTAAAAAAGGAACTTGAGAAATAGGACACCATAAAATAAGTTTCTGGTATCCTAAAGAGTAACAAATTTACCATGGTGCAAGCTTTCTAAACACCTTAAATATGGCTGAGAAAAAGTACTGATGTGATATAAAAATACTATGCTAATCAATAATAAATTTACCAAGGTAATTTGATACCAAGAAACCAACAATTCACCTTCTGAACTATGCTGCAAATTACTCTTGTACTACATGTGTTACTTGAAATTGATTTCTTTATTGTCATTTGTATATCCACTCTGCATATTCCCATGACTTATAGGAAGTGTTTAACAAGGTCAGTCAATTTTTTTACTTGACCTGTAGTCTTAGCTGGCTATAGGCTTCACTGGAGGAAATATTTTAACTCTTTCCCTCCTCAACACACTATCTGCTTTATCTTGTTGCAGGGTTACAGCTGCATAATAACCCTTGTAAACCAGACACCTGGAATCCCAAACAGAGTGGGGAGGAGAGGAATTTTTTGCAAAGCTATGCATCCTAAAATAATCCATCTTTGTAAGCCATTTTCACAATGTGCATTTGCATGAGCAGCTTAAATGGAGTATATGCATTTTTGTATACTTTGTGTGACTGGAAAATTGCACTGCAATTTTTTTGAGATAGAATTTCAGGGTGGCAACGTTTTGGTTCTCATAGGGTTTTTCTGAAGCCCTGGCCTTAGTATCCCTACTCATTTTATTTTACAATTTAAAACTTTGGAACCTACAGGTCTCAACACTGAATTTTGATTCTTTACAAAAACAGTGCTAGATTAATGTTTAGAATGTGAGGGGTTAATCACCCTGAGATTGCAGTGTATTTTTAAGTATAAGAGACCACCCATGCCCCCTTTAGTCTAGAGCTTGCTCGCTGTCAGTAACTTGGAAAGATTATGTGCAATTTTTTGATGAAGATAAGGATGGTATTTTTGGAAAGCCTCATGGTAGCTTAAACGGCATGTGATTTCATTTGTAGAATTACAAAAGCCATTACTGAAGCTGTGAGCCCAGAAAGGGACAGGTTAGTGATAGAACAAACACTTTAAAGTAGTTTGAACTTCATTTAAAGCATTAAAAAACATTAACTCGTAACAAGACAAAATATAAATATTTATATATATATTGTTAGAGACAACTCTGCTTGTAAAGAAGGTTACAAAGAAGTTATAAGCCTGGGGAACTTGTCACAGAGCAAGGGGAAGTCATGAAGAAACACCCCCTACACCTTCAAGTAAAGAAGGAATCAAACAAGCAAAGACTTTGCCATGGTTTTTTGAATGCAGTTTTGAATTGTGTTCTATAATGAATACTGCCTTTACCCCTTTTTGTATAATTGTATTAGTATCCCCACTAACATTAACATCTGTAAAAAATAAATCATCTGGTTTAACCATATTGTGATTTTCCATGCTTTCAGATAATACCTGTAAAGCACAAGTGGAGCATAGGAAGTCGCAGGGCCAGAACTCTCCAAGCAAACCCTTGAAGGCTGCCCAAATTCAGTACAAGCCCGAACTATTTTTGTCTGAAATGGGGCACAAATGATACCCAGTTTGGATGTCTATAGGGGAGACTGCTGGAGCCATCCAGGGGCATCTACTTTGGCCCATCCCCACCCAAGACTCATAGGGTGGAGCTGTTGCTTAAATATTTACTTCTGATTTTTCTAACATTTTTGTGCAGACTGTCCTTTGCCTTTTTGGCAGGATTCTAATGTCTCTGGTTTTTGTTTTGAAATGTCAAGTTTTTTGTTTTGTTTTTAAAAAATAATAATGCATTGTTCATGCTTGATTTTGGATGCTTATTCTTCATATGCTGCCTTAGGTGGCTTTTTTTGGCTGAAAGGCAGCATATAAACAAACAGTACTTTGACATAATAAAAAAGCATTTGCTGCACTGCTCAGACACCATTAAGACTTCCTGGCCTCGCCTATGGACCCATCACCACACCTGCAATGCTGCTGCCTGAAGGTCGGTTCACCCAGCTGTATCACTGGACCAGTTCTGATCAAATTATTCATTTATCAGCCAGCTGCTATTGTATTCAGATGTAGTTAGAGATCCCTCCAGATTGCAGCTTTCCAGCAATAGGGGTGGCAACACATGATGAAAGGAACTTCTAGCATTGGGATTGAAGCAGCAAACTGGTTAGCTGTGCTGATACAGTGACAATCCTACCAGTATTTTTGGATTAGTCATGGTCAAAATGGGGGTGGAGACCTGGCTTCAAAAATTCAGGTGAAATCATTCATAGCACAAAGCAAGACTTCTCTGCTCTAATCTGCTCACTATCAGGAATCTCCTTAAGTCTTAAATGTGCTAATTGGACATTATATAAGTGAAGGGGTTTGTTTTGTCAGATCTTTCACACACATGTGTTTCTCACTGAAGACCCTGATAAGTCAGTCACCAGTACTCTGGAGAATTGAGGTTAAAAAGCTGCTCGTTTCAGGTAGCTCACTTGTTCCAGGCTCATTTAACACACCGAAACTGGATTTAAAAGGAAACTTTTAAATTTAAAAGTAAACTGGATTGAAAGAAAACCGGATTTAGCTCATTAATGAGTTCCTAAATGAGAAATCAGATGAGTTACCGATAGTTCACCTAAATAGTGAGGTTCAGAGTAAACTTAAATCCTTTCACGCTATACTTTTGGCTCACAAAGTGACAGAAACAATCATTGTTTTGTTACTCTAATACATATTTCTTATGCTACCTTAAAATGCGCAAGTTTTTTTGGCACCTTAAAGAATAATTTATCACTTCTAAATCCACCTCCTGCATATGGTTGCACATTCTAATCCACTGTGTGTATATCATATGCATTTACTTTGCAACTAGCTCTCGACTTAAAAGCCATGAATATAATCTTTATTTTGTACTTTGCAAGACACAATTACTAGCAGAACAGTTCAAAATACAACTCAAGACCAGTGGGGATTTTAGGAGGCACTCAAGGGCACGCAGTACCGGCACATCTTTTTGTTGTTAAAAAGTGTGACACTTGCTGTAACAACTTCATGGTGAGTACTGGCACCTATTTTTTCTGGGGGGGAGCACTGCTCAAGACTAAGGTTATCAATATTGTTTTTAAAAAAGGACTAAGGTATGAAAATGCAAATTGTGCATTGGATGATGCTTTATTTTTCATGAGCATGCACTTATGCTAGAAATTACCAGGGGATTTAGTTTCTGGGCATCCCTAAGGAGGTGGTCACCACCAAACACTAGCAGCACATTTGGGCCCCACTCCTCAGGCTTCTTGCCTCTGACTTATTTCAGTCAATGTGATCTGTAAGAAGGTAGATGCAAAGGCCTCTTTACTTCGTGTCTTTTGTCATGGGAACAACTTGCAAGATCAATTCAGGGAACAAAATCCATGTCTAAACAAGTGGATACTGGTTGAGTGCTGCAATTAATGAACTGACACCAACTGACACCTGGATGATTATATAGCCTGAGGTAACTGATGGGTATTTCAGGCTTCATTACATCTGCTTTTGTACAAGTTTGCAGGCAAATCTGAGGTCAAGAACTTGAATTTCCAACAGACTTCCACCTTTTTTTCTTCTTTTTTTGGCATTATCTAATTATAGGTCACCTACTTCTCAAAATGCTGCGCTGACACAAAACTGATTAAAATTACTGGAACTTGCTACTCTAGATTGTTCAGAGGACTGCAGGTGTTTTGTATAATTAGGCAACTGTTAAATAAAATATTTCAACACTGATGTTAGGTTAAGGTCATCAAAAGGAAAGACCAGAAATAACCTAATTAAAACTCCTGCTGTGACAGAGCACATGCTAGACCCAGAGACTTCTCATTCAGTAGCTCATTTCACATAAATTATGTTGTAATTGCCAATATTTCACTTAGTGAAAGAGTTCTGCATAAAGGATAGTGAAAAATATGCATTGCAAAGCAGTTACATAAAACAGTGCTTTATTGCTTCCACCATTTCACCGTATGAGTCAGCTACTAGGTCTTTATGTAAAAATGCACCCACGGAATTGCTGTCTGATCTCCCCCCCCCCAAAAAAAAAATTATTACAAGTTATTATGGAGTTGTCTTTTGATGCATTATCTGTCCCACCCCAATTTATTCTCAAAGTGACCTACTGATAGTTGCCAAGCACATAAAAGGCACGACACTGTTCCAGTATAAAGTTCAATAGCCAACAGGATAAAAGGAATGTATGGTGCAGCTGTATTTCAAAAGAATTCAAATTACACCCAAGAGTTTCTGACCATAGGGGCCTGCCGTTTTAATTTTATTTGCATTAAAAAGCACCTTCCTCGGGGCCACCTTTGTAGCAAACAGCCCTCCTGCTTTCCTCTCCCTGCAAAGGATTTCAACCTTAAAACTCCCTCAGGTTCTTGCGTTATTTTAATTTCTCTTCCATACTCTGTGTTCATCTTGCACACCACAGCTTTAAAGATATCCCTCCATTCCCCGCTTTTAACATACGTGCGGGTTCTACACAGGAGCAGCCCGCCCAAGAAGCAAGGGAAGGGCAGTTAATCCCAAGGTAGAGCCTGACTCCCCGCCTTGTTCCTGATCGTCATTCACCCCTTTCTCTGGCAGGAGCAGAGACCACCGATTTTGCGCTTCGCCTCAGGTGGCAAAATGCCCCCGAGTCCAGCCCCGGGGCCACAGACCGAGGAAGGAAGGACCCCTTGGAGAACAGCCTGCGCCATGGAGCGCGGCTGTTATTGCTGCAAATTTTAAAGGCCGCGAGAGTGCGCGCGGATCACATAACTAGTTAGAAACGCGTCAGGAGAAAAAGCGCAAGCCAATTCGGTCTGCAGACTCTCCAGAAGAGCCTTCAAGCGCCCGAGCGTCTCTTTCTGGAGACCCCCAGCACTTGTCCTCACAGGAGCCTAATGAATATTCAGGCACCTCAAGAGCTGCCGCCCCCTAACTCTCCCAAGACTTGCCCTTCAATGGCGCCCCTCGCTACTAACAGTCTCCACCGCCACCTCAGCGCCCGCCCCGTCCCTTCCCTTCCCCGCCTCAGCCACCCCTCAGCCGTTGGCCGCCCCAACTGCCGCGCCGCGCGGCGCATTTATTTAAACATCGCGCGCGCTGACGTCACGCGCAGCCCCCCCCGCCCACCAACGGGCTGCTCCCCTCCCCGGACTACCACCCGCCCCAATGCTAATTATCCCCCGACACCGCCACGCCCAGTCCTGCACATGCGCACCTCACGCCCTCTCCCCCCTCCCCACCTTTTCTTAAAACGAGAGAGAGAGAGAGGCAAGGGAGGTGCGCGCGTGCACGCGCCAACCGAGCGAGGCTCAACAGTTCCCTCGGGTTGGTGAGGAGGGGCGCGCGCGCGCACGAGGCCCCGCTCTCGACTGGCTTGGCGAGGGGAGCAGAGGCGGCCGCGCCTGCCTGCCTGGGAGCGTCTTGGCTGCCCGCGGGGCTTCGGCATCGTCCCGCCTTGGCGGGGGTCGCGGGCGCGCGCGGTGCGGGGGGAAACTGAGGCAGAGCCATTGAAGTGGGCTTCTGAGGAGGAAGGCGCCTGGCGGCTTTTTGTTTTGACGAGCGCCTTAGTTCGCCGCTGCCGTCCGAGCCTTGGATATTATTAAGGCGCTCGCAGGAAACCGCCTCGGGCGCCTCCGTCTTTCCCCGAGGGGCTTTTCCCTCCCCATCCCAGCCCCGGGGCCGCCGCTTTCTTCCTCTCCTGAGCCTGAAGACAAAGGAGATTTCCCTTCCCTCGGTGTGTTTTTTTTGAAGAAGCCCCTTCGAGATGGGCTGCACGCTGAGCGCCGAGGACAAGGCGGCGGTGGAGAGGAGCAAGATGATCGACAGGAACCTGAGGGAGGATGGCGAGAAGGCGGCCCGCGAAGTCAAGCTGCTGCTCTTGGGTGAGGAGGCTGCTTCTCTCTCGCTTTGCTGCTCTCTCCCCGCAGCCTTGCCCAGAAATTGAATTCTCCACGGCAGGAAAACACGGCGCTGTTTTAGCCCCGTGTGAATGATCAGTTGCGTGTCAGGTCACGTTCCTCCCTCCTCTGCAGCACTGACAGGGCAGCCCCACGCCTGTCTACTCAGAAGTCAGCCTTGCTGAGCTTGGTGGGACTTGCTCTCCAGTAAGGGCTTGCAAGGCTGAAAGGGCTGAGACTTCATCCTGGAGATCGCACCCTCGGCCTCGCCTGCCGCCTTCCACTTTTTGCCCTGCCAGTTAACAAGTTATCGGCTTCTTGATCTCAGCTGAAAGGTGCAGGGGAAGGAATTTGCCTTCTGAGCATCCTAATTGTGATTGGGGTGGTGGTGGTTAAAGTGTGGGTAAGATGGAACACCTCTGTGTTGAGAGATCTGTGGTCAGCTGTAAAGGCATTTTCAGTTGAACGAAGCCATATTTCTCGGGTACCATATTTGTAGCCCTTACTGCAGTATGTCACTTGGGCTCCTATTGTTTGCCTGAATGGTCTGCTTCTGTTGATGGCAAAAGCATAACTACAGGGCTGTGTAGGTGAAATGCTCCTAGCATGAAGGCTGCAATTCAGACCTGAAGTTGAAAATCCTTTGAACTCAGGTCAGTGGGACTTACTCTTGGCGAATAGGATGGGAATGTTCATGGGCTTGAGCTGTAAATTTCTTAGAATAGTTGGATGACTGGTGTCAGGAATAAGAAATGGCTTAGGATTGCTAAATGAAAACACCCCTCCCTAAAGTAAACAAGTCCACATACACACAATGGAGCTTAAGTTAGTTTGCGGTACAGTACTGGTGTTAGATGAAAATCATTTTAAATAAGGTGCATCTGGAAAACTTTACAGTAGTTTACTATACTTAATATTTTCTGTTGTTTAGTATGGAAGGAAAATACTTGGGTGCCCCACCCTCGTTCCAGAAATGTGTGTTGCTGCATTAGGCTGTTGCTTATGAAAGTTTATACCAGATAATAAAGCTTGTGCTGCTTATTTTTCATACGTATTCCCCTGTCCTGCACACCATGGATAACTTACTGCATTTCAGAGCACTTTCATGCATGCTAGTTTTCCTATATTGATATTGTTTATGTGTTGATAAAAGTGTGTAAATCTGTCATGTGTGATAAATACAAATAAATTTATCCTTTATATTGCAGCCCAATAGTACATTCTATGCTGAAGTGATATCTGTGGTCTAGGAAAATTGTCATTGGCTATTGTGGCCTTTTTAGCCTGATTGACTATGCATTTATGACTACATTTATTCAGAAGTGACTTCAATGGGACTGTTACCTAGGTACATAAGAACAATGGAAGCTGCTTTATACTAAATCCTACCATTAGTCCTTTTAGCTCAATATTGTCAACACTGATAGTATCAACTTCCCAAATTTTCAGACAGGATTTTTTCTCAGCCCTGCATCAAGATGCCATGCAAGGGATTGGCCTTGGCTCCTTCTGCATGCAAAGCATGTGCTCTACTACTGAGTTACAGCCCCTCCCCTTAGGTAAGTGTGCATAGAATTATAGCATGATATTCATATTTACCGAGAAGTGCGTCTCGCTCCTGCATGTGAGTGCATAAGGTTACAATCTTACCTGGAAGTACATCCCATTGAATTCACTGGAACTGAATAAATATGCATAGGGTTGTTCTGCATATATACATATCTAGAGCAGTGTTTCCCAACCTTTTTTGGGCAAAGGCACACTTGTTTCATGAAAAAAATCTCGAGGCACACCACCATTAGAAAATGTTTAAAAAATTAACTCTGTGCCTATATTGACTATATATAAAGTAACTCTTTAATAGGAATCAAATAAACACAAAGAAAGTATTTTATAATTACTTTATTATGAAATAGTAAGTAAACAGAAATATGAAAAATTATAAAATACTTTATTCAGTGCGCAACCTGGGCCTGTTTGGCTGAACACAAAGCTGATATTCTGGCTGGAATCGAAGAAAGACACACACGTAGCTCTTCGTCAACAGCTCTCAGTCTCTCTCTGTATTAAGTTTTTATAGCAAATGAAGGAAGAGTAAGCAGGCTGGGGTGGGTTAAGTAAGGGCTGAAAGTGCCTAGATGAAGTGGGGGAAGCTAGAGAGGAGGTACATTCTGACGTTTGAGGATAGACTAGGTTCTTTATGTGAATGATAGGTGAGTTATTTGACAGATCGAACTGAGAGCAAGGTGTGGCTTGTGTAGCTGGGGTGGACATGAATGTTTGGGGTGCAAACCCCAGGCCGGCCAGGTCCGAGGGGGGGCAGGGAGAGACGGGCCTGCCTGCCTCTGCCTGCGCTGTGGTGTGTTTTGCCCCGACCTGCCAGCTGTCTCCGCAGTAGCAGCGCGGACTGGAGCTCCGTCATTCTCCCCGCCGGTGCCCGGGGAGGGGAGTGTGGGGCGGCCGCTGTGGAAGCAACGGCGTGCTCCTCCTCCTCCTCCTCCTCTTGCCGGGCTAGAGCCGGCCGGCTAGCACTCGCCCCTCCTTGCTCGAGCCGACCCCGCCGCCGGGGGCCTTCCCGTCCTCTCAGCGGCGCCGCCTCGCGCCCCTCGTCCGGGGGTTGGGAGGGGGCTGGGGGGAGGAAGGGGGTGAGAGGGAGCAGCCACCGCCGCTCCTGAGGAGATTCTGAGGCGGTGGCGGGCGACGCGTGGCGGAAGAGGAGGGGTCCCGCCAGCCCCGCGTTTCTCTCTCTCTCTCCCTCACGGAAACCTTCCCCTCAGCTTCTGCCGCTTTTTCTCTTCTTTCCCTCTTCCTTTTTTTTTTTTTAAAAAAAAGAAAAATCTTTCCTTTCTCTCTTTTCCAGCCCCCCCTCCCCTCTTCACGGAATTTCACTGCACTCGGGCGCCGCGGCGCGCAGGCGCACTGCTCGCTCCTCTTTCCGCGCAGGCGCCTTCTCTCGCTCTTTCGCCTCCTTTTCTTTCTCTCTCGATGGTCCGCCTACAAAGGAGCGAGGGAGGCGCCCGCCATGTTTGGATTTGCATCCAGCAGGAGATGCCGCCGCCGCCCCGCCTCTCGCCGCCCGACTCACCCGCCTCCCTCCCACGGCACACCAGGCAACGTCTCGCGGCACACTAGTGTGCCGCGGAACACCGGTTGGGAAACACTGATCTAGAGTATTCAAATAGGGTATTTTAAAAGCCGGTCACTTTCAAGTTACGAGGATAGAATAGGAGAGTGATACAGATTAAACAAATAAAAGTCTTAATTTGCGCTGCAATTCCTCATTTAACTAAATACTGTTCTGGTTTGCCTATATTTCCATATTTTGACACTTAGGGCCAGATTCAACTCATCTGGTGCACTTGCAGAACCAGTGTAAGGACTCCCAGTAGCACAATGGGGTTCCCTCCTTTCCCCCATTCCTTTGTCAAATCTGCTCTGAAGGTTTAGAACTGCTGCAACATCACACCAGGGTGAGAGTTTGTTTCACATGGCAGATAAATGCTTGTGCTGATGGAACTCTACCCTTAATTTTGTTAGGCTACGTATTTAATTGTGACTACCCACAGTTCGGACAATGAACATAATAATAGGCATTTATATAATGCTTTCATGCATTCAAAACACTTCACATATATTATATTGTAAGGTAAAAGGTAAAGGACCTCAGACGGTTAAGTCCAGTTGGATTTGACTATGGGGTGCGGCACTTATCTCTGCTTTCAGGCTGAGGGAGCCGGTGTTTGTCCACAGACAGCTTTCTGGGTCATATGGCCAGCATGACCAAACTGCTTCTGGCACAACAGGACACCATGACCTAAGCCAGAGCACATGGAAACGCCATTTATCTTCCTGCTAAAGTGGTACCTGTTTATCTACTCACGCTGGTATGCTTTTCAACTGCTAGGTTGGCAGTTAACTGTTCAACAAACATGTAAATAGTATGTAAACTATTCTGTGGGTAAACCCTATCTCCACATTGCACATTGGAGGAGGTTTTTGGTTGCATCCAGTAGAGTAGTTTGCCTAAGGACATGCCATGAACTAATGGTAGAAGTGAGATACGAACTGTGAGTGCTCTGATTTGTGTCTTAGAAACCATGTTGTTGTTGTTGTTGTTTACTTGTTCAGTTGTGTCCAAATCTTCGTGACCCCATGGACCAGAGCATGCCAGGCACTCCTGTCTTCCACTGCCTCCCGCAGTTTGATCAAACTCATGTTGGTAGCTTTGAGAACACTGTTCAACCATCTCGTCCTCTGTCGTCCCCTTCTCCTCCTGCCCTCAATCTTTTCCAACATCAGGGTCTTTTCCAGGGAGATTTCTCTTCTCATTAGGTGGCCAAAGTATTGGAGCCTTAGCTTCAGGATCTGTCCTTCCAGTCAGCACTCAGGGCTGATTTCCTTCAGAATGGAGAGGTCTTGCAGTCCATGGGACTCACAAGAGTCTCCTCCAGCACCATAATTCAAAAGCATCAATTCTTTGGCGATCAGCCTTCTTTATCGTCCAGCTCTCATTTCCTATGTCTTCTAGTGTGAATGCCATTGAATTCAGTGGGGCTTCTAGGTAACTTGGGCTAGAATTGTTGCCCAAGTTACTCCTGTTTAGTGAAATTCTTTCTGTGCTGAAAAAGGAGTTTGCGATTTTCTTCTATTATTTATACTGCTTAATATGTAGGACAGCAACACAAGAGTGGGCCTTTTCTTTGGTGGCTCCCTGCTTACAGAATAATAATAATAATTTTTATTTATACCCCACCCATTTGGCTGGGTTTTCCCAGCTACTCTGGGTGGCTCTCCCCAGGGAGGCTCACCTGGTGCCTTTGTTACATATCTTTAGGCACCAGACAAAAACATTCCTTTTCCAAGCCTTTAGCTAATTAAACAACCTATGGCATTTTAAACTACGGGGGTGGGTGGGGGGTATTGTTTTTCTTCATTACTGTGGTATGCATTTTTGTGTTTTTATATTGTAAACTGCCCTATGATCCTCAGATGAAGGGCGGTATAGAAATTTAACTAATAATAACAATAACAATAATAATAATGGATGCCTGAAAGCATACAAGGACTACAGGGGCCAAACACACCCAGGGGCCAAACACATCCCTCCAGGACTCTTTATCTGGCCCTTGGGACACTCACCAGGTGACACCCCTCAGCAGCTTTGAGGCGGTCTGTACACATTTTCTCATATATGAAGCTTCACCACCTCCCCAGACCCATTTAAAAGACCATAGATCAAGCAGCCAAAAACCTGGTTGAAGAGGCTTAAAGATATGTAATGAGGGTGCCAGGCGAGCTGTGGATGTAAGCAATTTTACCCTCAAAATGCTTTCCAAACAAGTCATGGTGAGCTACCGGCTCCTTCGAGCCAGTCTGTAAAAGACCCCACACTTCCCAGAAAACGTCTGCCGGATGACATAATAAGGATGCAATGGAGGCAGGAAAGTATGCCGCCTTTTTGCGTTCACTGTCACTAGTTAGGCTCAACAATGAGCCCTCACTAGTGTTCGATAGCATTCAACTAGAGTTTTCCTTCACTTACATGCAAACAGTTTTTCAGTTTGTTTCATTGCCCTAAGCTCTTGAGTGTATATCAAGGAGCCAGGCAGGCTCTATGAAGTGGGAGAGGGCTCTCAGGGGCAATGACCCATGGACCTGTTGTTGTTTAGTCGTGTCCGACTCTTCGTGACCCCATGGACCAGAGCACCCCAGGCACTCCTGTCTTCCATGGACCTATTTAAGCCCAAATAAAAAAGACCAAAGAAAGAAACTTGCCCCCTCAAATGACCCCACCCTACAAAGCTTATAAATCCCCTGCCCCAAATCTTGAAAATTCTATTTTAAAATATCAGGAGGAGCAGGGGGTCTCAGTTAAACTATATATATTACACAGGGAGTACGTAGGTGGCACTATGGTCTAAGAGGCTAGGGGTTGCTGATCAGAAGGTCGGCGGTTTGAATCCCCGTGATGGGGTGAGCTCCTGTTGCTCGTTCCCTGCTCCTGCCAACCTAGCAGTTCGAAAGCATGTCAAAGTGCAAGTAGATAAATAAGTACTGCTCCAGCAGGAAGGTGAACGGCGTTTCCGTGCGCTGCTCTGGTTCGCCAGAAGCGGCTTGGTCATGCTGGCCACATGACCCGGAAGCTGTACACCGGCTCCCTTGGCCAGTAAAGCGAGATGAACGCCGCAACCCTAGAGTCGTCCGCGACTGGACCTAATGGTCAGGGGTCCCTTTACCTTTTACCCTGTGTAATAGGGTACTAATAGCACTCCTTCCAAATGTGAATTACTGGGGGTGTTAGTTTCTGATTTAATTTAAAACACGCAAATATGTGGTCACAGAATCATGGTTTAACAGGAACTGAGGTTCTTTTCTCAGTTGCAACACTGATGTGATTTTTCAGTGATTCCACCTCCGACCCGCAATACTCATTCTCCATTAAATAGGCCCATATGTTTGTTTGCAGCCTTCTGAAAAGACAAATGTGTTCAATGTAAATGCAGACTGGTTTCCAGGTAACAGAATGAGGAGTTCAAATTGAAGCGAACAGGAACACAAATACCGTAAAATAATTCAGACTTGAAAATATATTTGTTAAGTCAACCAGTAACTTCGCTTACAGATATATTTGTTAAGTCAACCAGTAACTACTCTTACTTGTTAAATAGCTGTCTGTATATTGATTTAATTAAGGACAATAGGGCACTATATTAGTATGTTATTGGATACGACTACAGAAGGATCCAACCAAAATCTGATGGCAAAGTTAATATAACAAAAAAGATCTATGGAAATGTGTGGGTTATTAAATGCCCAAGGTCCTGAAAGTGATATAGATGAAATGTGCGGCAGATAATTTGGAAATTAGAATAGAATGGGGCTTATATTTGATTTTTGAGATAGTCTGAATAAACTGGGGTAGTAAAATTGTTGCCATATTTTTTTAAAAAAGCGAAACAATATTTCTGCATGAAATTGCATAAAATTAAAAAGAATATGATCTTGAATAACAATAGGAGCCATTTTATGCTTTGTGGTTTGAAATGAGTAGTGCTTTATGCTTTATGGTTTGAAATAAGTAGTGTACTTGATATTTTGGTATGTGGCTGGATGGTCTTCCTAGAGATGTAATGAAGCTGTATCAACTTTTTTTACATTTTGTGATACTACATTAATCTATCGTCTTCCACTAATTTTTATCTTAATGGTACAGCTATAGAGACTTGTTTTGTTTTTGATAATTCACATTTCAAAAAAACATGATTTTTGATCTTGGCATATTAGGAAGCAACTTTAATCATCATTATTTTCCCCAATCCTAGGAATCCTGGGAACTGTAGTTTGTTAAGGGTGCTGAGAATTGTTAGGAGACCCCTATTCCCCTGACAACACAGCTACACTTTCCAGAGAAATTTAACAAGTCCATCTTCCTTGGGGATTAGAGCTCTTTAAGGGTACCCCCCACATACACACATGTCACACATACACTTCATACTGAAATCTGCTACATTTATCTTTGATTCACTAGAAAGAAAACATCCCTGGTAAGCCAGGATGGAAACATGTGATGTAATCATCCCAGTGAATTTGAATATAGCCACATAATTTTCCTAAGTGGTGAAGTAATTCATGGGAAAAACCTGGTGTGGACAGACTTCAGGCTTGCAGTGTTTTCTGTTCTGTTTTGTTTACTGGAACCATCTCCTTCAAATGGTGCTTAGGTACAAAATACTAGTTTCACCCCAAGCTTAATCAGCAGCCCAGAGTAACCAGTGTGGTGCTCCCCAGATGTTAGACTGCCATAATTCCCTAGCAGAATGGCCAACAAACAAGTATGATAGTCCAACAACATTTGCAGAACATCACTTTGTCTGTCCCTGAGTAGCCTGATTTTGGAAGGCTGTCTCTGGTTTGGAAGCAAGCATCAGACTTGTGTATCTTCCTCCTGTTGGGCCGCTCACCTGTCAATTACCTGATGTCATCATGATGTTAGATGACCCAGCTTCAAAGGAAAGAAGCAGGAGTGCACTCCCAAGTTTTTAATGTGATTTCATCAGTAAGATGCATTCATGAGAAGGGAGCATAATTGGAATCCATAGAGTTATATATGTTTTTATTGAATATCTTACCTGTGCTTTACTGCAAGGTCCCAGGGTGGGTTAGAACAATTGTTTACCTCTTCTGTTCAAATTCACGAAATCTCAGAACTGATAGTACGATCTCTTAGTTTTATAAATCATTAATTTAGTTGAAATTTAGTGAAAAACTTTAAAGTACTAAAATACTTCTCTCCAACAACTTTAACATATATTGGAATAGTTGTGTGTGGATGTTCACATTTAAATATTGTAGCAATACAATTGTTTCTTATGTCTGTTCAGGCAGTGACTGTAACTTGGTAACAGAACATATGTTTTGCATGAAGAAGATCCCAGCTTCAATTTCTGGTGTCTCCAGGCTACTGAGCAAAATGGAGCCACAGTCTTTGCTCAGTATAAGGCAGCTTCCTAGAATGATATATTGGAATATGAAGCTTGCCATGTTCCCAGTAGTTTACCTACCTCTGGTAGCAAGCAGCCAGGCACCTCTAGCCTGTACAATGGTGATATCCTCTTGTTTTGTGTTCATTCTTTGGTATTTTGAATTATCCTGGCTCTCGAGTTATATTCCTGACTCACACCCAGGTTGGAATATTATCTTCCAGGAAGTATCTTCCAGATTATGGTGTAAATGTGAAAAGAAACTGTTAGTAACCATAATAATGTGTGGTGGGGTGCGTGGAGAGAGATTGCCAATAGGTTCAACCTTTACTTAGTAACTTGGTTTTTGTATGTGCAGATTTAATGCCATTGTTTTAATGGCAGAGGTGGTGTAAATTTCATTATTTCCATTAATAGCAAACTCTAGTGTGTTGAGTACTGAGTCTAGGAATCAGAACAGATTCTCTGACAAGAGGGCAGTATCAACAGGCTCATGGGAACCCTGAGATAGGCAGACATTCCAATAATTTAAAAATTCCTAAAAGGGCTACTCTCCTCCAAACAATATAATAAACACGGAAGGAGCATCACAGTGCCATGCAGTTGGAACAGAGAAATGGGAAACGGGGAGAGTGAATTGGCCTCTTTCAGATTTCTGGAGGGGGGGTATGACCAGATGACCTGTTTAACAGGAGTGTTCCTAGGGATACACTTTTAGTATTTGTACAAATTCCACTTGTTTTTCCTAATGATGAAATTGTTAATATAAGTAATTGAAACTCCCAAATGTACAGAAAAAAGGGATTTAAAAATGTTCCACACATAAAATGTTGTAAAACACATTTAACAGAATTCAAACTTACCACAATCAGTTTCACACTGATTTCCAAACATTGCATTGTATTATATACAGTTTGTATAGTGTGCTGGCAAGGCCTGCTTAGGCCTCATGCATGCATTGAGACACCAACATAGAATGCTCTCCATAGTTTCCTATGCTTTGCAAGTGCAGATCAGTAGTGGTGGACAAACTATTTTGGTTTTTTAAAAGGAATGTGGACTACTATTACTGATATTTTGTTTGCACAACCTCTCAACCTCAGTGGAAATAAAGCTTGAAAAGTGCTGATATATGGAATGAGCAACAGGCTTTTGGTTAACAATGTTTTGGGTGTTGTTTTTCATAGGAGCTGGTGAATCAGGAAAAAGCACAATTGTCAAACAAATGAAGTAAGTATGTTTTAGGAGTGAAAACAAAGTTAATAGATGACTTTTAGTTAAAACAAAGACTGATTTTTCTTTCTTTTTTAGGATTATCCATGAAGCTGGTTATTCAGAAGAAGAATGTAAACAGTACAAAGCTGTTGTCTACAGTAATACAATTCAATCCATTATTGCTATCATTAGAGCAATGGGGAGGTTGAAGATAGATTTTGGGGATTCTGCCAGAGCTGTAAGCATTGATGTACTCCTTACTTAATTTTCGCTTTCATTGCTGTACTTCTGAAATCCATTTACAAGAATTAGTGAACTTTGTTATATGTGAAATAGTTAATCTTTTTCTTTCAACACATCTTCTCTGACTGGACAAGGAGTCAGCTTGCAAAATAGGGCAAGTTTTCATATCCCAAAATCTTGGCATGGGTGAAAGAAGTAAAATACTAGATGAAAATAAAGTCAGTTAATTTCAAGACCTGTGGAAAATTTAAGGCAGGACAAAGAATCTGTTCCCCTTCATGCCTAAACCAGGTGGAAGAAGCCAGATAGATGCCATTAAGAGTACATCTCCTATCATCTGTGACTTTTGACCATGATTGCTGGGGCTTATGGGAGTCCAATAACACCTGCTAGGTCACAGGTTCCCTACCTCTGCTCGAAAGTCAACTTGTATCAGATGGTTGTATAAAGCTTTCAAGAAGTAGTATATTAAATAATTTGGCTGCATTAACAGAAGTATGGTTTCCAGATTATGGGAAGCAGTAGTACCACTCTCTTCTGCCTTGGTCAGACCACACCTGGAATACAGTGTCCAACTTTGGGCACCACAATTTAAGAAGAATTTTGACAAGCTGGAACGTGTGCAGAGGAGTGCAACCAAGATGATCAAGGGTCTGGAAGCCAAGTGTTATGAGGAATGGTTGAAGGAACTGGGTATGTTTAGGCTGGAAAAGAGGAGATAGGATGGCCATCTTCAAATATCTCAAAGGCTGTCACATGGAAGATGGAACCAAGCTTGTTTTCTCCTACTCTGGGGGGTAGGACTCAAACCAATGGCTTTAAGTTAAAAGGAAGGAGATTCCAACTAAACATCAGAAAGAACTTTCTGATAGTAAGAAATGTTCAGCAGTGGAGCAGACTCCTTCAGGAGGTTGTGGACTCTCCTTCCTTGGAGGTTTTAAAGCAGAGGCTAGATGGCCCTCTGTCATGGATGCTTTAGCTGAGATTCCTGCATTGCAGGGGGTTGGACTAGATGACCCTGGGGTACCTTCCAACTCTACAATTCTGTGACATTTTGGAAATCCCCATTTTCTTAAAAAAAAGCTTTCTTGTAATACAGACGTTAAATGTTTTTTGTTTAATTTTATTTATGTGAATTGATTGTCAACTTTGTAGAAAAGTAAACAGCTGTTTTGCTATTATGACAGTTTGAAAGCTGAATAGAGTTTCTGGGAACCTTCACAGTTTTTGTTTCTTTTTTAACAGGATGATGCTCGTCAACTCTTCGTTCTTGCTGGATCAGCAGAGGAAGGCTTTATGACAGCAGAACTTGCTGGAGTTATCAAGAGACTGTGGAGAGACAGTGGCGTTCAAGCTTGTTTCAACAGATCAAGAGAGTATCAGCTTAATGACTCAGCAGCATAGTAAGCTTAAAACAAGAACCAGTGTTGCTGTGATGGCACACTTGCCAAATTCATTTTGCTGCTGAAAAGAGAAGCAGCAAGCGAGGGATACAAGTGAGGGACTCTTAAAAAAAGTCCAAAGAGATTTTGAGATGAGCACATTCTTATCACTTTATTTCTGATTAAATGCCTAAACTAGCTGAGCAAAATATAGCAGTACATTTTATTTCCAGTATAGTGTTGCTGTTTTTTTAAAAAAAGATGTTGCCAAATAGATGAAATACATCTAAAATTAATAGTACTGTCAGACTATGATGAATTGCTGTCAACTTTGCCAGGATGGAAATAAACACAATGTTCTGAAGTTGTCATTTTATACATATATTCATAGGGTAATACAGTATTCAAAATCGTTTATACTGGGAGTAGACCTATTGATAATGTTAAATAACTCCAATACATATTTATACATACAATACTTGCGTGCGCGCGCACACACACACACACACACACGTATGCAATATAAGATAGCAAAATCCATAGGTTATATTTACTAACAAAAGGGCTACACCTGGATAGTGGAGTCAGATTAACCTGGCAAGGTGGTAAAATAAACATAACCTTGCTTTTAATCTACTATTACATACTACACATATTCTGCAAACTTAATAAAGCAAATAGTATTTCTTGCCATCGTCGCATGATTTTAGGTAAGCCAGAATGTGTATGAAATCAGCCTTATTTTTTCCAATGGGTTTTTACATGTAGAATCAACCTTAGATTTAATTAATTGGTAAATCAACATTTAGTTTAATTTCCTGTTAGCATTTCATCTAACATATTTATTCCTTCTGAGGTTATAATCACTATCCTACCGATTGTACCTAAAAGTGAATCCCACTGATGTCGGTGGGACTTTCCCTGAAGAAAGTGAACATATATATGAATGTAACCTTATAGCTCAATTCTATATCTGCTCAGAAGCAAGTACTACTAGGTTTGTTGGAGCTGCCCACCAAGTGTGTGTAAGATTACAGTTTTAGGTTGTGTGCATTCTTACTTGGGAGGAAACCCCACTGACTACAGTGGGACTTGTCTCTGAGTACACATAGGATTTTACTACAAGTGTTGTTGAGTTTATTTACTTGTTAAATCATGTTTTAAAATCACTTCTGAAAAGGTAAAAATTTTGCTACTGTATTACCTAAATGTGTCAGGTGGTGTAGAATAGAGTTATTTGAAACTGCCCATAATTTATCTGTACCCTACCAATACCTGAGTAGCATGAAGTTGGTATTTACTGTCCATGCCATTAGTTTTAAATTGCATGTTATGCTTAAGTATCAAGCGGCTGATTTTTATTTTTATTTTAATCCTTTAAAAAAATATTTCTAGCTACTTGAATGACTTGGACAGGATAGCCCAGACTAGCTATATTCCCGACACAGCAGGATGTCCTCAGGACTAGAGTGAAAACCACAGGAATAGTGGAAACTCATTTTACTTTCAAGGATCTCCATTTTAAGTGAGTAGTCTCAGGAAATATGATATGTATATATTTTGTGTAAATATTTTGTATAAAATGTTAATATTTTCAAAGAGTAAAAGCTACTTGCATTTTACAAATGTAGATACTTTCCTGGTGTCCATTGGAAAAATCCTACTATCTGTTCTGAGGCATTCTAAAGCAAGCAAAGAGATATATTAACAGTTCTCTTTTCCAAGAGTTTATTCTAATTCCTACTTTCTTTGCTGGATATCCTTAACTTCTATAACATGCCATTTTTCAGTTTGCTCTTCATAACTTATAATTCTTCTTTATCTCCCAAAAACCAATGAATGCATGAATCTTATAATTTTCATATTCATTTTGTATTGCTGCTCTGCAGGAGAAGGAGGGGTGGTTTACATTAGAGAATTTACTTAGCAATATAAAGCAATCTGAAAAAAATCATTGCATTTGAATGTGATATAATAAGTGGGCACTAAGCTGCACAGCACATCAGTTACACAACTAACTTTCCAACCCATTTCCCAGTGATTGGTTTCAGTCCCTTCCGTCTCTCTTTCCTGGTGTTAACATCTGAGGAAGAGAGGCGAGGACATATGTAATTGTCAGGTAAGATTAGAGAAAACTGCAGGCAAATATGGTGCTGCTCTGTAGGCAGGTATATGTAGTATTACTGTGATGATACTCTTCGGCTCATATTCTAAAATGTGGATTTATTAATAATCTGCATTAATGACCATAGAAACCTGTAATTTAAAATGTTATCTGGTTAAATTTTGCTCCCACATAACAGTGTTTGGAGGCAAATTTGGAGGCTAAAATTGCAATAGCCTACATCTTCAGCTACATTTGACCTAATCAGAAGAATCATTCTTGAATTTGGGGGGAAATCCCATCTCAAAATAATCATTCACATTTTTTTCATTTTTTTCCAGGATGTTTGATGTTGGGGGCCAAAGATCAGAACGGAAAAAATGGATTCACTGCTTTGAGGGAGTAACAGCCATAATTTTTTGTGTTGCACTGAGTGATTATGATTTGGTCCTTGCTGAAGATGAGGAAATGGCAAGTAAACCCACTTTGAAACAAGGAACATTAGGTAGGCCAGGCCCACCCCAGTTAGTACAGCTCTTTGTGTTACACAGTAGTCCTAGGTCCTCTTCTGACAATGACAGCAGCATGAGATCTGTTACAGCATATGAGCTTCCTGTGCCACTTTTGTAATACTGGACAATTTAGGTCACCTACACAGACTCAACAATGTCAGCACTGCTCAGTTTCCTCTGCATGGAAAAAGGCATGTAACGGGTTCTTCCTATATTTTATGGATCTTCCAAAACTATTGTGTGCTGCAGAAGCGAGAGCACGTAGCATCAGCTCTTACCCACCAAAGCTAATCGTGGAAGGAGCCCCTGTATTCTGCGAAACTTCTAAATTAAATACTGTCCTGTTATTTATCATCATTAGATAGGGAATGTGAGTGGGGTAATCACCATGTCTAAGCAGATGGTGGTTTATAGATTTTGTAAACTGGTAATGCAATCTTTTCCAGAGTCAGATCCCACTGAAAGCAAAATGTGCAAGTCTCCAAGAATATAGAAAAAAAGTTACTGTAAATTAAGATTTAGGCGCCCATTTAATTCCAGTGGGAGAATTAAACATATAAATAGAATTTCAAAGTGTTTAACTTTGGAGTGATAGAGGCCGTTGCCTGAAACATATAATCATCCATTAGAAATTATTAGTTTGCCCCTCTTCATCTAATCCAATGTCCTCCTGGAGAGTTCAGTAACTTGTAAAATGTCCTGACACACAAGCTTCAAACCCCCCCCCCCCATGATGTAGGATTTTTGGATTTCATTGGGTAGGAGAGAGGGGGCTAAACTTATATATCATATTTCTCCATTGCAGAATAGGATGCATGAAAGCATGAAATTATTTGACAGTATCTGCAACAATAAATGGTTTACAGACACTTCCATTATCCTCTTCTTAAATAAGAAGGATCTTTTTGAAGAAAAAATCAAAAGGAGTCCCCTCACTATTTGCTACCCAGAATATCCAGGTATTTACCATTTTATTTCCAAAAGAAACAAAAACTGAAATAGAGAAGAGAATGTATTGATCTGATACTTTAGGTTATAACAGTTGAGAAAACCATACTTGTAAATAAGTACCAGATTACTGTAAGTCAGAGACTTTCACTGTGCAGCTCATATAGCCCACTCTAACCTTTTACAAAAAGTAGTGTAGTATTCTAATAATCGGTATTGTTTTGCTGTCTGATTAAATGAGGATATTATCTGCAGTCTGTATAATCAATGTTTGAAAATTTGATTTGTGTGTAAGCCTGAGGACGGAGACTGCATTGTGTTTTTTGTTCAATACCCAGAAAAAGAGATGATTCAATGTAATAATAATAATAATGAACCAAATTCTTATATGAAAAAGCAGTGCTTATCAAACTCTTTCAAGAAATTCTATCTCTCTCTAGCAGCTCATTCAGGGACTCTGTAGTGAGGAGAAAAGTAATAGTGACAGATTTATACTTTAGTGCACAGCTGTAAGGAAGTATGGACTTTATTATTGTGTATACTCTCAATTAAGGCAGAGCAGTGGTAAGCCCAGGTATCCTGTTGCAGTGCCCCATCAAAAACTATGTGAACTGTAGACCATGACTCAGAATTCTTTGCAACGTACAGGAGCTTCATGGTAGCAACCTGGGAGGTGGAGCACCAGAAGAGATGAAATGGGAAGTTTTCTGTAACAGTAGAATGTTTGAAAAATAATGTTAGATGAACAAGTGTGGCAAGGAAGGTTACTTTGTACATTACTTAGCAGGAAGGCAATATACAAATTTTATAAACAAGTTAAGTTTATAATGACTGCTTACGATTCGTGTTTTTGACTGCCACAGCAATATCTCAGATAATCCAAATTTATTCAGGCTAAATCTTCACTACCAAATTCTTATTTCAGAGTTCTTATCTACAGATGACAAAAAAAAAAATCTGCAGTGATATAATTCATGTAGATCTCTTCAAGCATTGTTCTTCTTTTTGCCTATTTCAAATGACATATCTCACTTTAGAAGTTTTAAGTCAAAGTCTATGATTCAGAGAGAACTGTATGTTCTGAAAAATGCTATGCCAGATAAGGATAAGTGTAAAAACTGTTAGTGATTTAAGCAATAATCCTAATATGCACCATTGAACACTGAGTGGCTTATTTCTGAGTAAACAGGATTGCACCTTAGATCTGCTAGAGTTTATTTGTTTTACAAGTTAATCCTCTGAATGGTTTTAGGGTTGGCTAACATTTTTAGAGCCAAGGGTTTGACCCTTCAGCGGCCACATACCTCCAGTGGGTATGGCCACCACATACTCACAAACCCCACACTTATGCACACATACAAAGGCACACAGCCCATCCCTCAGAGAGGGCAGTTACCGTATTTTTCGCTCTATTGGACGCACCGGACCACAGGACGCACCTAGTTTTTAGAGGGGGAAATCAAGGAAAAAAATATTATCCCCCCCAGCCCCAAAGAGCAACGGACAGGCTGCGGGCTTCCTCTTTAGCCTTGAGCAGCATCTTTAGCCTTGCACAACGGGATGGATCGTGCCCGCTGTCCACCGGGGCTGGACTAGATGACTCCTGGGGTTCCCTTCCAACCCTGCAATTCTGTGACCTCGGAAGTTGTTGGGGGTCTCCACCACTGGAGGCTTTTAAGCAGCAGTTGGGGGACCATCTGCCTGGCGTTCTTTAGCTGTGATTCCTACATTGTGAGGGGGCTGGGCTAGATGACCCTCGGGTGGCCCTCCCAACTCTATACAGTCCTACACTTCTGTGGCAGGAGATCCACAGCCACTTCACACAATGCCCACTCCCAATTTTCATTGGAGAGACATGTGGCTTCACTGTCTAGGTAGGTACCCCCCTACCTGCCACTCTTCCCTCACCCCACTTAAGCCGAGAGAATTCCTGTCCAGAGAAGCTCCCAGGTGAGGCAAGGGTTAAGATCTACCTCTGGTAAATGGCTTTGTATCCTCCCTCTTTCCCTTTTCTCTTCTTCTTCTATGCTAGTTCCTTCTCTTGTGTTTTGTTTAATCTGTTTTTATTGTATACTAAAATAAAAGCTGCAAAGTTTCCTTTTTTATAATATTCCCACCCTCAAATTAAAACGTTAATCTAGATAAAAACACTGATCCAGAGGAAAATAAGGGGGTGGAGAAAGGACGAAAAAAAAAAAAGAGGTAGAGATAGAGAGATTTTTTAAAAGTTGGCTTCTTTAGCCTTGTGCAGCCTCCCGCGGCTGGAGAGGCGCGCACTGCTAAAGAGGAAGCCCAGGCAGTGAGCGGGATGGATCGCGCTCGCTGCCCGGGCTTCCTCTTTAGCCTTGCGTATCCTCCCGCGGCTGGAGAGGCGCGCACTGCTAAAGAGGAAGCCCAGGCAGCGAGCGGGATGGATCGCGCTCACTGCCCAGGCTTCCTCTTTAGCCTTGCTCAGCCTCCTGCGGCTGGAGAGGCGCGCACTGCTAAAGAGGAAGCTCGGGCAGCGAGCGGGATGGATCGCGCTCACTGCCCGGGCTTCCTCTTTAGCCTTGCTCAGCCTCCCGCGGCTGGAGAGGCGCGCACTGCTAAAGAGGAAGCCCAGGCAGTGAGCGGGATGGATCGCGCTCGCTGCCCGGGCTTCCTCTTTAGCCTTGCGTATCCTCCCGCGGCTGGAGAGGCGCGCACTGCTAAAGAGGAAGCTCGGGCAGCGAGCGGGATGGATCACGCTCACTGCCCGGGCTTCCTCTTTAGCCTTGCTCAGCCTCCCGCGGCTGGAGAGGCGCGCACTGCTAAAGAGGAAGCCCAGGCAGTGAGCGGGATGGATCGCGCTCGCTGCCCGGGCTTCCTCTTTAGCCTTGCGTATCCTCCCGCGGCTGGAGAGGCGAGCACTGCTAAAGAGGAAGCTCGGGCAGCGAGCGGGATGGATCGCGCTCACTTCCCGGGCTTCCTCTTTAGCCTTGCGCGCGTGGGAGGCGGCGCACTGCTAAAGAGGAAGCTCGGGCAGCAAGCGGGATGGATCGCGCTCACTGCCCGGGCTTCCTCTTTAGCCTTGCGCGCGTGGGAGGCGGCGCACTGCTAAAGAGGAAGCCCGGGCAGCGAGCGGGATGGATCGTGCTCACTGCCTGGGCTTCCTCTTTAGCCTTGCTCAGCCTTCTGCGGCTGGAGAGGCGCGCACTGCTAAAGAGGAAGCTCGGGCAGCGAGCGGGATGGATCGCGCTCACTGCCCGGGCTTCCTCTTTAGCCTTGCGTATCCTCCCACGACTGCGCAAATTGCGCAAGGCTTTTCTAGAAGAGGGAGAAGGGACTGACTGGCCGCGTCAGTCCCTTCTCCCTCCTGGGGAAAAGCCCGCAAGAGCCGTGCGAAGCTTGTGTGTGGCTCTTGCGGGCTTTTCTTGCTTGCCTTCCCCCCCTGCATTCGCACCATAGGACGCACAGACTTTTCCCCTTAGTTTTTAAGACGGAAAAACTGCGTCCTATGGTGCGAAAAATACGGTATTTCCCCACCTTGCTCATCAAATGATATATATGACGATCGGGGAAGAAGTGATTTGTATGCCCATCAGGCTGCTAGACTGGGCTGAGAAGTTTAAACTTACAACAGCAGCATGCCTACTTTAATTTTTGTTTCTTTTTACTACTGAAATCAGCAGGGCCTGATGCAGGCTCCAAGCCAGGGATTAGTCACCCCTGGTATGTATTAAGCATTCTAGAAATAATGAAATTACAATTTTTCTACCATTTACTATGCATAAGTAAAAACAAAGTGTGACATCCTGGGATTGACCACGCATTAGTAAAATGGACTTCTGCTGGCAGAACCAGAATGTCCCTTCCTCTTCCTGCAGCCCCTCATGCCCCTCACACAAACAATCCCAAATGTTCACTGGAGGGTTGAGAGATCCTCTAGAGCAGATTTGGGGAGAGGAATGAAGAAAGTAGGGGGCTGCATTGTGCATTCAGATGTCTATCTGCACAATATTGGATTTTTTTTCCCAGAGTTCTTTAGCTCCTTAAAAACTAACAAGACTACTGTGACAATTATTTTGTAGACTAAAGCCCACTTCCTTGGCTACAGGAAGTTTTTTTGTTTTGTTCCTGTTTTTATCATGTATTTTGTGCTTTTCTATTGTATTTTTATGTTGTGAACCACCCTGAGGTCTGTGGATGAAGGACAGTATATAAATTTAATAAATAAATAAATATTGATCTATTCATATTAGAAGACACACATACAAAAAGGAGGGGGGAGTATTGGGTCAGATGTCATGAAATAGAAATTTACATTCATACAGTTCAATTGAAAATTAAATATGCAAAATAAACTCAGTAACAATGTCAATATTTTGTTGACAACGGTGATCTTAACATTTCTAAGTTACTGTTGTGGGATAGAAAATCACCATCTTAGTTCAACATTCTAGTTGAGTTCTAATTCTGCAATTTCATCCTATAGTCCCTTTTGGAAATGTGTTTGCTGTAGAATTGCCACTTTTGAAGATTGAAATGTTTCCCCATTAGTTTCTGAATGTTGCCCTTTCTAAGGTAAAGAGAGATCTGTTTGCCATATAAAAAGACTATTCTTGATAGGTATTAGCTTAAATCACATTAGAACACGGAGCAGATAAATTAAACTTTGAAGTTACTAGAGCTGATGTTATTAGATTCTTAATGGTGTTACCTGAGCAGGTATAAAGATGATCTTTCAAATAAGCCAGATGAAAATTAGTCAATCTTTCTGTTGTCCCTGTTGTTATAAAGCATGTGCTACAATCTTCTGTTTTAGAATTTTGTTTGTGCATTTCATCTTTTTTTTTTTTTTAGGATCAAATACATATGAAGAGGCAGCTGCATATATCCAGTGTCAATTTGAGGACCTGAACAAAAGAAAAGACACAAAGGAAATTTATACTCACTTCACATGTGCTACAGATACTAAGAATGTTCAGTTTGTCTTTGATGCTGTAACTGATGTTATCATAAAGAATAACCTAAAAGACTGTGGTTTGTTCTAAACATTTATATCAAATTGTACCTTTTTTGCATTAACCAAATGAGTCACAACTTCATTTTTTTAGACCATAAATATGTTCATGAGTGATACTTAAGTCATACTCAGACTAGACACTCTGAAATTATTGGACTTAAATTTATTGATTTCAACAAATCTACTCTGAGAATGACTAACATTGGCTACCACCCTATGTTTTTGTTTATGTAATCTGATTTTCCTGGTCTTGATTAGGTTGAAGCATAAAATTCAAATCTACAGGTTTATGTGGTAACATGAAAAAGCATTGGCCAGACCAATATTGTACTAGCTTGTTTAAACAGTTTTATTTATGTTTGTTGTATAGATTTAAATCGTGTTGAATAACAATCAACACACAATGATTGTCTGTTTATGTGTGACTGTGTGTTGTTTATGTAAACATTGAACAAATATTTTAATGCATCCCGTAGAATTTTCATGTTTTAAGGAGTGCTTTTTCTGTAGGAGAAAATGTTTTCTCTTTTAGATTTTTCATTATTCAAACAAAACTTTTTTTAAAAAAACACCCATAAACCCTTAATTTTCCATATAATACATGTGACATAGTTGTTCTTAGATTTTATTTATGCCCCTGTAATTAGCATAGTAGGCTTTTTCTTGATTATAGGATCCTTTACACTTGCTCAGGATTAAATAAGAAATGCCCCAATGGATTTTCCTGAGTTATTTTCTCCCAAACTTTTAGAGAACCACTTTTGAACATTTCAGATTTACAGCAAACAAGCCATTCTCCCATCTTGCATACTTCTATGCCAAATGTTTTAACCGTTAGAGGAGAATTCTTGCTGTGATTCAGCATGTAGAATCACCATCCTCAGAAAGTAGATGCCCAAGACATTCTAGATTTCCTTCTGCCATAGCTAAATCCATAGCATTGATTGTGTCTCCCTGGATGGAAGCATATTTTTTTACTTGTTTTATATTTTAATGGTTCCTTTTAGCTTGTGTGTCTCGTGAGACATACTAAAAGAAAAGGTATTTGAATTAAAATCAAGGAGTTGTGTTCAACCAAGTCTTACTCGGAGAAGACTCACTGAATTGAATGAACCTAAGATAGTCATGTTTATTAACTTCACCGAGTGTACTCTGAGTAGAATTTGCAGTGTATACCATTCAAGAGATGGAAATGAACATTTCAAGCCTCATGCAGTTTTACCAATGTAAATTTTCTTTGCCTTTTCTCAGGGGAATGGCCGCCTACTTTTAATGTGTGTTCCATGAAAGCTTAATGCCAACTTTTTTAAACACAAAATAATTTTTCATTCAGAGCAGTGGGCACATTATCCATTGTAATTGAAATACATATGCAAATAGGGGTTTTGGCATGCTTTCAGAAAGAAAATATTGTCCAACAAGTATCATTTGTGTCATACAGTAACATACAGAGTTACTGGGATCCATAGAGGCCCATACACAGGTGCAAGGCACTTCCATCCACACAAGGGGACAAGATGTGGCATCTTTTTCCTTCCCTTATGGCAGCAGGTTCCTTATTTGCAGGTGCTGTTTTTGAGGGCCTCCGACCTTCAGAGTTACATTTGTGGAGCAAAGAGTGCTCCTGGTAGAAGGGAGAAGCTGGCAAGTCCCCATGTATGAGTGCACAGGGAGTGCACTGCACAGGGAGCTTTGAATCCTTGCCTGTGTAGCTTCCATGGAGGTTTCATCATCATTTGCTTCTGCTCCCAAAGAGGCAAACCATTATGGCCTGCCTTTTTAGCAGTTAGAGCTGCTACGGGAGGAGTCTCAAAAACAGGCTCAACTTACTGTGTTGTGCCTTACTGATAGCTAAAAGGTTACTTTGAATTGCAGCTATATTTTACATTGCTTTATGCTACAAGGCTGATTGTAATGTCTATACAGATTTTTAAACACACATAAACATGAAATAAGGAGCTTTGTAAATAAACATTGACTTGGCTTTCTCTATCATTCTGTCACCTAAAATATTGATGTAGCCAAGTTGCAAATATAGTTTTCTTTTGGTATGTTGGTAGATTTCCCACAGAGAATGTGTTCTTTGTTTCTGCCTATTCCTCTCTCCCCTGTCCAAATCAAACAAAACTCTGAACCTGGTCCTGTTTAGTGTTACGTTCGGAAGGGTTTAGTCCAAACATAAGATCTCTACTGTTTTCCAGTATTGATCTAAATTGTCACCTTGCCATCCATGTTCCATTCTGGGGAATATTTAAATTATTGGTGTAAATCCCATTTGCATCCTGCCTTTCCTCTAAGAAACTCAGGGCAGTGTACATGTGCTTGAAAGCACAAGTTTACTAGAGAAAACAAAATGGCAGTGAAATGGTGGAAATGGACGGAACAAGTCTAAACAGACTTGAAGTATTAGCATCCAAAAAAGTGGTTTGTGTACTCCGACAGTTGTGCATCATCGTGCTTGATTCATTTAATTCTGTCTCTGAAGTATTTGGTAGTAAATGTATCTATATCCTTAATATTAGATTTTGTACATTACTGCAGTTTTTTAAAACAAGATTAAACTACAAGAAAAGTTCAATTTAAGTTATTTGTGCCTTGTCAAAAGAAATATTTTTTCATTGAGCACAACTAGTGAAAAGCCTTCTGTAACCATAAGTGAAGTGCAAACAAAATAAAAGTTTGAGTAAGTTCAAATGCTGTTTTGGAAAGATAAGTATATCTTAATGGCAATTGCTTTGATGAATTGCAAAACCACTGGTTACACTTGTTACTATTCTCTCCACACCTAAGAATCTTTCTTTTCCGTATAAATGTCTACCTCCCCTCTACTTATAATCTGACACTGACAGCCAAGGTTTGGTCAGATCTAACAACCCTACTGTGGAGCAGTCCAGTCAATCTGTAGTCCTTGGTGGAGATTTTATGCCCCAATTGGAGCAACTGCGGAGGATTCCCTTTAGGCTTAGAAGGTATCTTCCTAACCTCACATTGTTCTTTGGATAAGAAATTTAACGCACAGGGCCTGAAATTGTTGGAATTCATATCCCAACCTAATTTATTTACTCTTCACGGTAGTTCTGTAGACATATCTAAAGGTCGGTACACTTATTTGAACAAACATGGGGGAAGAACTAGCAACAAAATTATAGTCTTCATTATTCACATTTGTGAACACTTGGAAGTATTAGAACGAACAGATAGTGACCACTTTCCAATATCTGTGACCCTATGTCCCTTAATAGGACACATACCAACAACTGGATCTGCAAGAGTGTGTGAAAAGACTGAAATGGCCTCACAGATTGAGCAGTGATATTCAGGAGACGCTATATAGTAATCATCTGAATACTCACAGCCCTGCATGACTATAGATGACTTACCTATCATTATCCCAGTATGAGTGATTTTGAAGAATTATTTAAGTAACATTACTGGCTATCGTGCCATTAGGCTATGTGAGCTTGCCAAAAGTGTTCTAATTTCAGTTTGCCTCAGAACTGATTTTGTGCTGTGTTGTAGTTGTTAAATACTCTCATGCTGCCCCCCAAATAGAAAGTATTTGTGACCATGTAAAGATGGGGTATAGCTGAGTGAGTACCAGTCACATCTCTTTTCAGCTTGCTTTGCACAGCATCTGTCATTCAAGTGATTTGTATGGCTTTCACCTTTGCAATTGTATTGATAGAAACTGAGCTGTAATGTCTTCATCTACTGGGGATCCAGCTCCTCAGGAGAAGAAATATATCGGAGGCTGTTTTCTGTAAAGCATTTGCACTCTGAGCAGGAGTGTTCATTCGTTTTATATGACATGGTTGGAAAACATTTTAATCGGAGGGAGGCAGACTTGGGTGGAAGCATTTGCTTGGTCTAGCTTTGATGATCAAGGCATTGGCATTCCTCCCATTCAGGCTGTAATCTTGCTTCTCCACCACTCCCAGACAATTCAGAGTGAAGGTAATGTGATGCAGGAAGCACTGCTTTTGCTGGAGCCATTATTTTTGCTTTGTTTGCCTTCAGGGGTGGCATCAAAGCACCAAATCTTATATGCTGTGCAGTGCTTTGCCATTATCATCCTCACTCAGTCATCCTTGGTTGACCAGGATCACAGTGATCATGGGAAGAAGCATTGAGGAGATGAGGGGAAGTTGCTGAAATAGCAGAGCTTGCTTAGGAGGAGGCCTGAAAAGAGAAATGTTTGGGTAGGTTGGGGAGTCACAGTTGGTGTGTGTGAACATTTGGTGCACTGTTAACATTTGAAAAGCATGGATCTTCCAGGTGCATATAGAAAGATATTCACTGAATGTTTCTGCAATAGTTACTCTTGTGGGGTGCAAGAAATTCAAAGCAGACTTAATATAAAATGTCCTCAGTTTTTTGAAGCAGCCATTCAAGAAAAATATTCATAAAAGCAAATGCCAGCTCTGGAAACAGTACTCTGGTAAGTGTTTATGCAAGCCAATAAAATATTTAACGGTGGTCCAGTGAAATGCACTCAAGGATATTAGCTATGGATGAAGTCAAAGCAAAAACCACAACTTGAGTATTTCTGTTTCTAGTGAATTCTTTCTTTTTAATGGGCTTTCAACTATTGCAATGCAGGCTTTTTTGTTATTCTAATTTATGAAAGTTGTGCCATTTATTTTGAGTATTGGGCTATAGCATTTTTATTTGAAATCTTTTTCTGTCTTTCCATAAGCCAAGCCCATAGGTGGAAGCTTTGCACATTGACTGCACCATCAACTTTTTTCTACTCGGAAGTGAGTGCCATTGAGCTCAATAGGGCTTACTCCCAAGAAAGAGGGAACAGACTGCATCCTTAACTTGAGTATCTATTACTGCATGTTTTGTAGACAGTCACAGCTCTGGTAAAATAAAATTAAAAAGTATATAATGCTTTATTTCCAGCAAAAAGGCTTTTTTAAATGTTAAGGCTGCAAATTAGTAGATGTAAAAATCATGATTTCAGGCTCAAGGACTTAGATCCATACGCATGTTGTTCATGTGTACGTCATCTTCACTGAAATTTGTTTGTTTTGCAACTGAATGCTTGTTGTGATAGTTCCCCATTTGTGGAATCCCTTCCCTAGCATCTGCCATTATTAACATTCAGGAGGAATTTAAAAACATTCCTGTTCACCCAGGTATTTGATGACTGACAAATCCTGTTCCTGGCATCCTTGAATAATATTAGCTATGAGAGGTGACTTTTTTTAAAAAAAAAGTTGATGTTTTTACTATTTGATTATGTTTTGCTGTTTTGCTCATCGCTGCCCCATGTTCGTTCAGGCAGGATAGAATTTTAATAAATGAGTGAAATGGTTAGCAGGAAATCCCACTGAGTTCAATGAGAATTGCAACTTGACGCATATTTTCATGTTGGAAGAAAAGGTTGCATCCCACATAGACATTAGATTTGGAGTGACTTGAATGCAGAAATCACATTCTGCAAGTTGTGCTGAAGACCTTGTCCAGATGTCCATTTTAGATGTGCCCTATAAGTTTGTGCACTTTCAGCACCTCATCAGAAAGCATCTTACTACCTCAGTGCAGCAAGCCAGCCCATGCAACAGCATAAGCACGTGTCAGCTTCAAGCCTTTGTGGCTTGATGGGCCTAGATTTGTTAAGAGTGCAAGAAAACAACACTGTGTATATGTCTCAATTTCGCATGTAAATACACACTGGAACTTTGTGGTAGGCCATGCCTTCTTTATCTTGCATTGCTGAGAAGTCTATTTTAGCAGAACTCCTTCAGCAGAACCCATTTGTCTGAGCTACGGTTATACTTTGGATCATCTTTCTCATTCTTATTTCACTCTAGACTGGTGCTTTCACCCATTGCAAGACCTTCCATCATAGTTTCTGAACTCACACATCTGGCTACCAATGCAATTACAAAAGAGAGCTAATTCTTCATAGGTGGAGCTGGAAGTATTTGGCATGCACCAGTCCTAATCATAGTAGATTCTGTGTTGACCTAGACTGTCAAATGTCTGGTATGTGCTGATGCTCATAAAGTTCTTCCCCTACCTGCATCATGACAATATGAAGCACGTAACTATTGCAGAGGGACACGGGTGGCGCTGTGGGTAAAACCTCAGTGCCTAGGACTTGCCGATCGCATGGTCGGCGGTTCGAATCCCCGCGGCGGGGTGAGCTCCCGTCTTTCGGTCCCAGCTCCTGCCCACCTAGCAGTTCAAAAGCACCCTTAAGTGCAAGTAGATAAATAGGTACCGCTTTATAGCGGGAAGGTAAACGGCGTTTCCGTGTGCTGCGCTGGTGCTGGCTTGTCAGAGCAGCTTCGTCATGCTGGCCACGTGACCCGGAAGTGTCTTCGGACAGCGCTGGCTCCTGGCCTCTTAAGTGAGATGAGCGCACAACCCTAGAGTCGGACACGACTGGCCGTACGGGCAGGGGTACCTTTACCTTTAACTATTGCAGACAATCGATAGCATCTCCTGGCTAGGAATGCACAATCGCATAATGGCTGCTCTAGAATGTCATATCAGCTGGCGGCAGCTGCCCAAGGTCTCCACAGAGACAGAGATATTTACTATTACCTGTTGCCATATCCTTGCACTGCAAAGGCCAGGAATCAAACTCTGAACTTTCTGCAAGCAAAGGACGTGCTTTACCACCCAGCTTTAGCCCCTCCAACTTTTTTTAAAAAAGGTCTCTTGTTTGAGTTTGACTTAAGATGACTCCTCTTTGCTGCCCTTGGGAATCTGCTCAGAATCCTGGGTTGCACAACCTCTTCATGACCAGGATCTGGCAAGACAAGATTTGCCCAGTTCCAGCTGTGAGTTCGCATTGATGGAAATGTTAAGCCTTGACCTCAATTTCTTCTTATCTTCATCCCTTTTAAAAACATTAGGTTGATTAGACTAGGTTTTATCCAGGTGTGCTTGGCCGTTGTATAAGACTTTAGAAGTGCTCTTTGATAATGAAAAACAGTCAGATCAATCAGAGAGAGAGCAGAAGCAAAGCATTGTTTGCCTATAGAGATGCCTGCCGGTAAAGACGCTCAAGGTCATTTCTATAAATAGGACATCTTTTCCCTGTGCAATCCTGTGCACACGGTCTGAAAATTTGATTATTATAGCATTCAACAGGAAGCTTTATCTTTCTTTGGTCAACTCTCACGGAATTTGCAATGATGTCAAATCCATAAAAGATGTGGGCGAGGGCATCAGAAGATGACTGTTTATTTTCTTTGCTACAAAAAATAGAACCAGATAAGATATCGGGCAGCTCTCTGTTTTGATGCATTTAGCAGACTGAATAGATGTTAGCATGAAAGCAAAGTAGAGAAGGGCTATTTTAGGCATTTTACAAGGAAACATTTTTTACTCAGAAAAAGACTGATCTGTCAAAGGAGAGCTGTAATTGCAGGTAGGCCTCCCTATGTGCATCACTTGATGAATTGGGCATATTTTCCCTGCACGTTTGAGTGAAGTTGTAGCTGATCTGCTCCATATTCCCTCTGAATGGGAGGCAAGTTGTGCACATCACTTACTTTGATCTGGAACCAGAGCTGAATTGGGTGAATGATCCAAAGATAGCCCACTTCAGGCATGACAGTTTTAAACTCATGGAGGGGGGATGCATGCACCACCCCTGCCCCCATTGTTTCCTGGGCACTGTCTCCACCCTGGACTTAGAAGCCTCCCTGCAATTGGGAATCCTGCCTCAACTT